GTGGCTAAAGTACTTTTTCTGTGTTCTGTGCTTGCAATTAAGAATTCTAACTAAGGAAATCCATTAAGGCTTTAAATCTTTGTTCTACCAGTTGAATAATCATACATCACAAAATTTTGAGTGATAGTCATAAAATATTTAATGAGCTGTATGTCATACAGTAAGCAAAATAGTTGTGATTAATATCTCTTACTACGTTTTTTGGATTGGATATATTTCAGAATTTCCTTTCTTGGGTTAGACCTAATTCTCAGGTACTCATGCTTGATATGCTGGATTAGTTTTCTACCCCCTTGACGTCTGTCACTGTTTTTGCTTTTATTTTATATGTATTAAATTTTCTGATTTGTATATTTTTCCAAATGAATTTTACAAACATTTTGCCAAGTTCCAAGTAAAATCTTAGTGGGATATTTTGGGGGAAATTACATTAAACTTATTTAGGGGATTACATTAAACTTACACATTTAGAAGAAAAGTGATACATTTGTAATATCTATTCTTTCCAACAGAGAACACTGTTTTTCTGCTTAAATTTTCTCTTATACCCCATAGTGTTTAATAGTGCTTCTTTACATCAGACAAAATGTTATAATATTTTGAGGACATTTCTCCAACCCCCGATATGACATACTTCATCATTACTTTCAGTGACCTCAAATTTCCCTCATATTTTGAAGTAGCTTTTGATGATACTTTGAAGTCCCCTACTTTTTTTTTGTTTGTTTGTGAGCCTGAGCCTTTAAAGACTATGCCAGCTCTCCAGCCCCCTCTGAATTTTTTAATTCATGTTCTTTCTCTTCTTTTCATACTATTTCTGTTTCATATTTTTCTGCTTGATAGAGTTTTTGAAATAATTCTAAGAAACTGATATGCAATATTCTGATTTTGGTCTTTAATAAGATTGTCGCTTGTGTCTTAAAGAATAATGCTGACTGTTTTAAGGTATACTTCTTTGGAGCTGTGGAGATGGCTCAGTTGGTAAACCTCTTGCTGGCAAGTACAAAGAGTTGAGTTTGATCCCCAGAACCCCTGTAAAAATGCTGGGCATGGTGACTGGCCAGCTAGTCTAGCCCAATTGGTGAACTCCTAGCCAGTGAGAAATCTTGTCTGAAAGGAGGTGATCAGTGTTCCTGATGGTGACAACTGAGGTCATCTTCCAGTCTGCACATGTACCCTACACACATGAGGACACACACACAGACACACACACATGCGCACGTGCGTGCACATACTTAAAAAAAAGATATGCTTCTTTTCAATACTTCAGAGATTTATTAAAATAATATATGCTCATTGAAAAGAGCAAAAATGTTGTGGGGATATAGTAGTGGTAGAGCAGTTGCTTGCCATGTATAAGGCCCTAGGTTCCCACTCAAGAGAGAGAGAGAGAGAGAGAGAGAGAGAGAGAGAGAGAGAGAGAGAAAAACAGCGCGCCCCACGCAAAAGAAAAAGAGAAATAGAGAGAGAGAGAGAGAGAGAGAGAGAGAGAGAGAGAGAGGAGGAAGGAGAAAGATTAAACTATATATAACTGTAAGCAAATATTGTTATTATATTTCAGAATTTTCAAATTAAGGGCTGGAGAAATGGCTCAATGGTTAAGAGCACTTGCTGCTCTTGCAGAGGATCTGGGTTTTGCTCCCAGCACCCCCACACAGTGGCTCACAACCATCTATAACTCCAGTTCCAGGGTATCTGATGCCATCTTCTGGTTTTAGCAGGCACCAGGCACACACATGATGCAGGCAAACACTCATAAAATAAAAAGTTCTTTTAACAGTATTTTTCAGTGGTTCAGAAGATTGACAAAAATTGTTACTGAGTAAGGAAAAAATATTTTTCAAATAATATTATATTGTATTTTTATGTCACTTTATTTTCAGATAAAATTCAAGTCAAATAATTTTACCAAAGTCATTCAATCAAAATAGCAAAAAAAAAAAAAAAAAAATTAACAGTGTTTTGACTCTTAAGATTCCAAATTATCCCACTTAATAATGGCACTAATATCAAACATTATTGATAAAATCCATGATAAAACAGGATTTATCTTGTAGATATTTTAATGCTAGACTATCTATTAGGCTATATTAACAAGTTACACAATAAGTTAAGCAGACCTTAGTGAGATTAACAGAACACTATGAGGCAGCAGCAGTATACTAGGGCAGTAGACACTCTATTATAAAGTTGTTTTAATGTATTTTGTTTGAAGCAAGGATGTATTGTATAGCCCAGGCAGGTCTTGAACTTGAGATTCTCCTGCCTCTGTCTTCCTAGTACTGGGATTACAGTGCACCACACTTGGTGCTTATTTCATGTTAATATAATATGCTTATAGCAGCTAAATTTATCTGTGACATGTGGTTGTCAGTGACTCTTTCTTTCTTTTTTTTTCGGGGGGGGGGTCTTTTTGAGACAGGGTCTCCCTGTAACCCCAGCTGGCCTAGAACTCACTATGTAGACCAGGCTGGCCTGGAACTCACAGAGATCTGCCTGTCTCTGCCTCCCGAGTGCTGGGACTAAAGGCATGCACCACCACACCTGGCTTGACTCTTATTTCTTAAAACTAGTGTTTCAGAGATTCCTTCATATTGCGGAGTTTGGTGGAATGATTTAAAAATTGAGGTTTGGGCTAGCAAGATGGCTCAGCAGGTAAAATTGCTTGCCATACAAACCTGATGGCATGAGTTTGATCCCCAGATCCCGGAGTGGAAGAAGTGAACTGACTCCAAAAAGTTGTCCTCTGACCTCTGTGTGTATGCTGTGGCACATGGAATGTCTTTACTTACATATATAAGCATCGTACATGCACATGATATTATAAATTTAAAATAAATTGAAGTTCATTTTTATATGTTAAAAATTTAGTTTTTACTTATATTACAGAGAATTGATTATTAAAGCCAACATGGCCACAGGAGGAGGCCCTTTTGAAGAAGTCATGAATGATCAGGATTTACCAAACTGGAGTGGTGAGAATGTGGATGACCGACTCAACAATATGGTATGGTATCTTACTACAGATGGTGTATTGTTGACTATTAATGCTAAATGAAACTCTCTTGTAAGTCTAATTCACTGAAACTCTTTGTGAAAACTGCTGACAAATATATTAAGGGAGCATGGGCTATTCAGTATTGACCGAAAACACTTTGGTTGCAATTAATGGAAAGCCATGCTTTCTGAGTTAACTTTTAAGTAAGCTCAAACAGAGAGAGAGAGAGAGAGAGAGAGAGAGAGAGAGAGAGAGAGAGAGAGAGAGAGAGATTGATTTATTGCTGGGCGTGGTGGTGCACGCCTTTAATCCCAGCACTCAGGCGGATCTCTGGGAGTTCGAGGCCAGTCTGGTCTCCAATGCGAATCCAGGCCAGCTGGGGCTACAGGGAAACCCTGTCTCAAAAAGACCCCCCCTCAAAAAAGAGATTTATTATAAGGAGATAAAAGTGTTTTATGGAAACCGTGTTAAAGGAGTACAGCTTAGTTTTAGGTTTTTGTCTCCCTAGTCCCAGCCTGCCTGGAAGTCACTATATGAGGCCATCAGTCTGGCTTTAATTTGCCTGCCTCTGCTTCCTGAGGCCTGGGATTAAAGGCACATGCCGTCATGTCTGACATATATCTCAGTTTTAGGAAGGAAAAAAAGAAACTGGAAAGTTGTCAGATATTATATTGTCACTACTGTGGCTGTGCTTCTAAGAACCTCTAACTCAGCTTTCCTTTCTAGACAAGTTTTTTTCTCCTTTGCTTTATGTCATATACTGAGGTTGCCTTTTTATTCTAAAATTTTCAACTGTGGCTGAAATTATATACTGACTAGTTGGTTACCTAATTCCATATTGAAACTCAATTTCAAATAGATATACATTTCTTTTCCATTAATCTTTGGCCTGGAAGGAGTGCATTAAATAGTATAAAAGGTTGGCAGAATCTATCCGCACATGGATTGGAGTAGAGGGACATTTCAAAGGGGCAAGAGTATGTGTATGTGAAATATGTTTTCTCATGTTAATTTAAGACCAAACAGTTGTTTTGAACCTACCACATTATTTTCCTGGTTTGATATAGTTCAGATTAACTTTTGCTTTTGCTTTTTTAAAGGAGTGGGGTGGCCAACAGAAGAAAGCTGATAGATCATCAGAAAAGAATAAGAAAAAGTTTGGTGTAGCAAGTGATAAAAGAGTAACTAATGATATTTCTCCGGAGTCATCACCAGGAATTGGAAGGCGAAGAGCAAAGATTCCACATACATTTCCGTATAGTAGATATATGACTCAGATGTCTGTCCCAGAACAGGCAGAATTAGAGAAACTTAAACAGCGGATAAACTTCAGTGATTTAGATCAGGTTTGTGAATTATTTTCAAAGTCAAATTGTAACCATAGGGAATACTTGAAATGGATTAAGTAATAATGTCTTAGTAATAAAAGATTGAGAAGAATAAAAGTTTCTATATGTGGGAAAAATTTTAAATGATAGTACTATGGAGAATAGTACTCTTCTTTGGAGAGAAGCAAAGTATTATTTCTAAATTTGCCAAAGATACTTCTTTCTGGACTTAATAGCTAAATTATTATATTAAGAAGGTAAATTTTACTAACTGAAGAAGCTTGTTATATTACTAAGGTTAGTACATTTATTGGGTAAGTGTGAAATATACTCTATTACCTAAAGTTTAGAATAAAACTGACTTATAATCACTGAAATAAAGTTTAGATCTAAAGGCAAATAGAAATAATACATTCTTAACCAGTATTCTATTGTCACATCTGTATTTTGCAAAGGTAAAGAGGTTTCCAAATATGTAGTACATTCAAGTCTAAGATCACAGGGTTATATAAATCATCTTGTATTATGTAAATATATCATGTACATATGTGCTAGGTATTAAACTAAATTTTTTTTTCATGGTGTTGGGTGTTGAAGTTAGGGCCTCATACATACTGTGCAGACATTCTACCTCAGCTGTATTGCTAGCTAGAAAGTGAATGCTTTTTCATGCTAATACTGATTCATTTGGTCCAAAGCCTACAAAAATTTTTGAGTAAAAATAACAATGTGGGCCAGGCATGGTGGTGCATGTCTTTAATCTCAGCACTCGGGAGGCAGAGGCAGATGGATCTCTGTGAATTCAAGGCCAGCCTGGTCTACATAGTGAGTTGCAGGACAGCTGGAGCTGTAGGGAGACCCTGTCTCACAAAGACCAAAAAAAAAAAAAAAAAAAATAGCAATGTGAATTCTAAATGTGGTCTACAGACTGTAGACTTAGACTGACCTTGTTCATATTTATGAGTTGAAGTGTGTCAAAAATGAGGATAAGGAAGTAATTGAATTTTGATAATTTAGTAGTTTTGTAGATCTGAAGCGTCTTCAAAGCTTATTCAAAGTTGTATATAACTTAGCATCTGATGTTGAAACAGAATGTTGGAACTTAAAAAATTTATTGAACAATTAATGTTTATGTGATTTGGTTTTCTTTTCGTATATAGAGAAGCATTGGAAGTGATTCTCAAGGTAGAGCAACAGCTGCTAACAACAAACGCCAGCTTAGTGAAAACCGAAAGCCCTTCAACTTTTTGCCTATGCAGATTAATACCAACAAGAGCAAAGATGCTGCTGCAAAAAGAGAAATTCCTGGATCAGCACAATGTAAAGAGCTGTTTGCTTCTGCTTTAAGTAATGATCTTTTGCAAAACTGTCAAGTCTCTGAAGAAGATGGGCGAGGAGAGCCTGCAATGGAGAGCAGCCAGGTAATAAATGGTTTATTTTGGTTTTAAGTTTCAAAGTATACATAAACATTAAGAGCTCTTTAAAAAAAAATGTATTAGGTTATACTTACAGGAATTATAGTTAAGTAGAAATAAAATATTTCCATAACCCTCTTCATTAATCTGCTATTTATTTTATTTTATTTATTTATTTAAATTTTATTTATTTATTTTTTATGTGTGTGCTTGTATTGCCTGCATATAGGTAATTGCACCCATGTCCTGCAATGCCTGTGGAGGTCAGAAGAGGTTGTTGGATCCCCTGGGACTGGAGTTACAGACAGTTGTTAACTGCCTTGTGGGTGCTGGGATTCGAACCTGGGTCTTCTGCATGAACAGTGTTCTTAACTACTGAGCCATCTCTCCAGCTCCTGCCATTTATTTTAAATAGAGTAGTAGTTTATTCCCTAAATGATTAGAAAAATGACATGTTCAGGATCAGTAAGGCTTTTCTTACTTGCCAAATAGTAAATTGTTAATTTTTAACAAAAGAAGATAGGAAACAATGTGATTCGGGCTTTTTAAAAATACAATACTGATATTGGGGCTGAAGAGATAGCTTAATGGTTAAGAGCGCATATTGCTTTTGCAGAGGTCCCTAATTTTGTTCCCAGCACCCACATGGGGCAGCTAGTTTTATAATACTATCAATTATTTATAAAGAGATATAACCATTAGAAGGAGTGTTTAAGGCTGGTGAGAAGGCTTAGCAAGTAAAGGTGCCTGCCATGTAAGCTTGGCAACTTTAAGTACAGTCCATGGAACTGATGTAAAGGTGGAAGGAGAGAACCAGCTCCAGAGTTGTCCTCCGATTTTGATTTCCATGTGTGCACTCTGGCATGTGTGCCCACACATATATTGTGTGTGCTTATGCACACACACACACACACACACACACACACAGAATATTTATGTAAATAATCTTTCAGAAATTTGTTTTATATGTAAAATTTGGGGGGCCAGAGATGGCTTATCAGAAAAAGTACTTGGTGAACAAGCCTAAGGATCTGAGTTTGGTCGCCAGAACTCACGTAGAAATGGAAGCCAAGCCAGGAGTGGTGGTGCACGCCTTTAGTCACAGCACTCAGGAAGCAGAGGCAGGCGGATCTCTGAGTTCAAGGCCAGCCTGGTCTACATAGTGAGTTCCAGGCCAGGTGGGGCTGCAGGGAGACCCTGTCTCCAAAGAAGACATGGAAGGCAAGAGCCAATTCCACAGTGTTGTCCTCTGACCTCTACACACATGCCAAGACATACTTGCCTACCAGACATCCCCCCCATAATAATAATAAATACAATTTTAAAATAAAGATTTTCAGATAATATAAACTAAAATGATTTTGAAATTATTTTTAAATTGATGGTGATTGAAATTTTCAATATTGACATTTAATGTTTTGATTAAAAATCTAAGTTTGTTGCAGATTTTCTTGCATGTATAAATTTATATGGTAAATCTAAATGTATATTTGATTCTCCATTTAAAATAAAAATCTGTAAAGCTGTTGCTATGGAATTACGTTTGGTTTTAGATGTTGTATACTGTGTCATGCTTATTTTTCTTTTTAACATTTTTCTCGCAGATTGTAAGCAGGCTTGTTCAAATTCGTGACTATATTACTAAAGCTAGTTCCATGCGAGAAGATCTTGTAGAGAAAAATGAAAGATCTGCTAATGTTGAACGTCTTACTCATCTAATAGATCACCTTAAAGAACAAGAAAAGTCATACATGAAATTTCTCCAGAAAACCCTTGTAAGTTTTTGCATCTTTTAAATTGTGTATATTGAGTTATTTTTATAATGTATCACAAACACTATGACATTCTGATGCCACTCCAGAGCAGTTAACATATTTTCAGAACTCGTGCCATCCATTATAACGTTTCTGTTGCCCTTTTTAATAGTTGTATGATTTATACCACTGAAATATTTCAGGCTAGAGAAAATGAGGAGGAGGATGTTCGGACTATAGATTCAGCTGTGGGATCTGGTTGTGTAGCTGAGAGCACATTGCTAAACATAGATGTGCAGTCTGAGGCTTCAGATACCACGGTAAGCGGCTTTTTGGTAATTAAAGTCCTGGAAATGAAGATATAAGGTGTTACTCAATTTTTCAAGATTATAGTTGTTGTCATTCCTTAATGGAAAGTGTATTCTGGGGAAGAAACCCTCAAATTGTTCATGTTATTTGCAGTTTCTAAACTTAGACGTTTGAAAGCTTTATTTACTAACATTAAAGAATAGTTTTAAGCTGGGCATGGTGGCGCACGCCTTTAATTCCAGCACTTGGGAGGCAGAGGCACACAGATCTCTGTGAGTTTGGGAGGCCAGCCTGGTCCACACAGCAAGTTCCAGGCCAGCTGGGGCTACAGGCAGACCCTTTCTCAACACCCCCCCGCCAAATAGTTTTAATAAATTGGAAATCTGATCATTTCAAACTTCAGCTTATGGACATTTTTATCTAGTTGGTTTTGTTCAGCATAATTGTCCTGATTGTAAGAAGCATTGGCAAAATTAGAATTCATTATAGATATAAGAGCTGTTAGTAATCACTAACAATTACTAAACATATAATCTGAAAAGGCTCCATGTTTATTTGCTAGTGAGGACTGGTTTTAAATATACTAAAGTTTTTCATTTCTCAGGCTGTAGGCTAATGCTATACTAAAACTAGATGACTGAACATTTGAAGTAAAGACTAGTAAATTGGACAGGGTAAAATTTAGATTGTTATTTATTCACAGAGACAAATACTGTGATTTCTGACTGCAAAGTGTAATTCATAAAAATATTTTCCCTTGGAAAAAGTAATTTGTATAACTTTGGAGAAAGAAAAGATTATAGGATAGATTTAGTTCATAGACGTTAGCATATTTCAAAACTATTCTCCTAAGCGTTTTTATTTTAATGCGTCTATATTCATGCAATGAATGAATGAATGACTTGTAATGTTAATACCTCTTACTTTTTTTTTCTTTTGAAAGGATAACCACATATATCTCTATCATTTTTTGAGATATATTCCAGATTACCATTCAACTTTAGAAATTTGAGGGTTTGTTTCCTTTTAGTGCTGATCTCCAAAGTTTATCTGCTTTCTTCCTCTCTCCTGCCCTTTCCTACGTTTTTTAGAATAGGAAATTTGAACTCATTTTTTTTCTATTTTACTAGGAAATACTCAGAGAGCTTGATCCAAACAGTTGTTGAAAAATGGTTTCTGCTGCGAGAAATTGTTTTTCTGTACATAGTGTTGCTGGGTTCTCCCTTCAGCAGAAGCAGAGGGTTGGAACAGGGTAGTTAAGGAAATTTATTGGAGAGGTGTGGGTATTATAATTTACATACTAGTGTCTAAAGTATGCACTATGATGAGAAGGTCCTTCATAATAATGTAAAATCATGCATTGTGTTGTTATGTAGCAAAGTGTTAAAATATGCTTTAGCAGTTTTGTATAGCTTGGAAATTGTCAAAGATGTAATGCTTAATTTTAATAAGCAACTTTATTCTACGGAAACTTAAGACTAATTAATTTACTGCTTCTTGGAAGAGGTGGGTTAATTTAAAAAAGATGGACTGAGACATTTTTGTATTTATTTACAAGGCTGGCTTATATGTTAAATAGGCGTTTGTGTTAAGAAATTAGTATGCTATACTATTCAATAAAGGAGGTATCTTTTAGGCTGAGAATTTGGCCATGTATTGAGGACAAATTAGGGAAGTCAGTTTCACAAGAACAGGTTTCACACATTGACATTACTACAAGTCCAAAAGGGAAAGATGGCAGACCTCCTCAGAATGATAGGGAACTGAGACCTAATAGGAAATGTAGCCGAAAATGTGGATTTTCCTCAAAGGTGTACTTGGCAATGTTACTTGGGAAGTCTTTAAATGAGCAGCTCTTACTCATGTTCTTCCTTACTGGCTTTTTTGTTACTGCTGTTACTCTCAAATCTATAAATTATTCACATGATTAATTATACTGCAATTTGCTTTAGTAAAATGCTATTAGTGTTTTGATTTTTGCTTTATTATATACCTCTGCGTGGATATTATTTGGCAACTGACTTTATATTAATAAAGGATTGAAATCATAATTTGATTCTGTTTTTGCTATTAAGGCTCAGTATATACTACATCAGTTCTTTTTTATGTTTTGGGGGCCTTATTTTTAGGTTGCTGAAATCTCTTCCTCCTCCTTGTCCTCCTCTGCTTTGAAAAAAAAGATTTAATTTAACTAGTTGACTTGTTCATTTATGTTAAGTTTTTGATGGATTTCCTTCTGTAATTTAATTGTCCTTTTAATTTCCCATGGTTTGTGTAAAGGTATTAAAGATAAGCTAAAGAAAATCATTTGTGTAATTCGGCTTAAAACATTTGAGCTAAAATAACATTTGTAAAAGAGTCTGTGTCCTTATGGTAAGAGCAAAGTACTATTTTAAGAATAATTTCTTGGGGCTGGAGAGATGGCTCAGAGGTTAAGAACACTGGTTGTTCTTGCAGAAGACCCGGGTTCAAATCCCAGCACCCACATGGCAGCTAACAACTGTCTATAATTCCAGTCCTAGGGGATACGACAGCCTCTTATGACCTCTGTGGGCATTGCACGACATGGGTGTGCTTACCTACATGCAGGCAATACATGCATACACATAAAAATAATAAATAAATTTTTAAAAACAATTTCATACATTTTATTACTAGCGTATTACCAAGGATTGATCTTCGTCTTGTTCTATAGTTGTTTTATATTTTTTCTTCCTTCCTTCCTTTCTTTTTTTCTTTTGCATGTTCAAAAATGACAAAACTTAACCTCAGATGTTTTGGCAGTTTGCATTTTTAGTTTTTGTTTTTCTGACTCCAACAAGAATTTGAGGGACAGTTTGAGATAAGTTATCATGAGGATCTTTAATTACACGAAGCACTAGCACAAAGGTACCCCAGTTGAACAGAAAGTAGTTGTTGAAGAGGAAAAAAATTAATGTGAATTATAGGTATCCTTTAAAACTTTTTGTCTTTCTTTATAGAATTGACAGATACTACTGTATATTTATCAAGTCCCTTTTTCCCTATTCTATTTACTTAAAAAAAAACTTCTAGGTTTCTTTGAAAAGTATCCTTACAAATGATTATTATTCTGTCTTAAATGACCTTGTTTAAGGAGGTTTATTACAATTTGGCTCTATTTAATCTTTAAAAAATTTTTCTTTGATTTATTTATTTTTATTTTGTGTGTATGAGTGTTTAAATCTGCATGTGTGTAAGTGTACCACATGCATGCAGTGCCTGTGAAAGCCAGAAGAAGGCATCAGATCTGCTGGAACTGGAGTTACAGACCATTGTTAGCTGCCATGTGAGTGCTAGGAACTGAACCTGGGTCCTGTGCAAGAGCAGTCAGTACTTATAAATTCTGAGCCATCTCTCTAGCCCCTTGACTCTGTTTAATCTTGATTCTTTTTCCTTTTTTTTTTTTAACATTTTTATTTTGTGTGGGATGGTGTGCATTCACCTACATGTAGAGGTCAGAGGGCAGCTTGACACATTCTTCTACTATATGGGTTCTGGGGGTTGAACTCAGGTCATCAGGCTTAATGCTTAGCATGGCAGATAGCCTTATCCACTGGATTATCTTGCTGGCCCTAGTCTTGATTCTTAGGTCACCCTAGCACAGCTTTACTAGTAGACAGTTCATAAATAGATTTTTTTTTTTTTTTTTTTGGTCTTTTTGAGACAGGATCTCCGTGTAGCCCTAGCTGGCCTGGAACTCATAGAGAGCCTCCTGCCTCTTCCTCCCTAGTGCTGGAATTAAAAGGTATGCGCTACAATGCGAGGCCTGAATTTAATTTCCTTAGAGAAAAAAAAACATTAAATGTTACCAAGATCTGATTTAATTTTTTCCTGTGTTTACAGTCTGTCATATCCTCTACCCCTTCTACCTCTTCTCTATTCCCTCCTAAGAAATTTGAAGAATAGAGAAAAAATTTGAAGTCTTACCTTCAAAGCTGAAATCAACTTTGTAGAGGTGCAACTTGATATGTAATGATAGATAGCCATATCTCCCTACAACGGCCAATTCTATTTTTTGGAGTATTTTATAGACATAACATTTTGTATAATTTTACAAAATAAGTGTTGTGCATGTACCTTGCCTTATCAGAGGACAACTTCCAGGTGTCGTTCCTTAGGCACCATCTGCCTATTTTTTGAGACAGCACCTGTTACTGGTCTATAGCTCCACAAGTAGGCTAGGCTGATTGGTGAGTGAGCCCCCAGGGGTTCTGCCTAACTCCACCTTCCCAGGGCTGGTTTACAAGTGAGGATCACCGTGCCTGGCTTTTTAAAAAACAAAAAAACATGAGTTCTGTGGATCTCACAAGTCCTCGTGTTTGTAAGGCAAGCAGTTTGTGAACTGAGCTATCTATATTTATTGTTTTATATATGTAACGTGGGATTTTATGCCCATGTTTGTTTTTTAAATCTATGAACTAAGGGGCTGGAACGATGACTCAGCAGTTAAGAGCGCTGCCTTCTCTTGCAGAGGACTAGGGTTCGATTCCCAGCACCCACACGACAGCCAACAACTGTCTGTAAATCTAGTTCCAGGGGATTTTGATGCTCTCTTCTTACCTCTGTGGTCATTGCAAGACATGAGTTCATATGCATAAAAATAAATATATTAAATCTCGAAACTAAAAATGTAGTTGGTGAACATGATTCAGAAAAGTTTGGATGGTAATAGGTGTTTGAAGAATAGGTATAGCTCTGGCTCCTTTTGGGACTTTTAGTCTATAGGCGTGGACGCTCTGGGCTCTCAGGGTCCCAGCGCGCACTCCTGGGCAGTGAAAGCTCCTCTTCTACTGAGGTCTACTCAGTCGATCCTGTCCCTATTTCACCCATATACCTTCCTCAGGATGTGAGGTCCACTGGCCACTTGGACCACATGGGAAGCGTACGAGGAACGGCGAAAGCCAGGGTGTCCGTGAGTTGTGACGGAGGAATAGCGCCCCCCGGGGAGACTGGATCACAGGATTTAGTGTTACAGCTCAAGACAAGTGACTCAGCTCAGATCTCAGTGATTCAGCTCCAGCTCCTTTATTCAGTGACTTAGCTCAGCTCCCAGTCTCGGTGATCCAGCTCCCAGTCTGAGTGAGGTGATCCAGGCTCCAACTTTATTGGGGTAAAACTAGGACTATTTATAGTGTAGAGACAGTAGAAGAAGTCTTAGCTGATTGGTACTTTTAGGATGCCTCATTTACATAGGGCGGTGGGCTTCTATCAGGCTATCAGACAACGCCTGATTAAAACCTGGTAGCTCCTGTGCCAGAGGGCATGTATTTGTGGCAAGCACTTTAAAAGAAGAGTCAGGGAGGATGCCAGGAAGGCACTCTGCTATGAAGGAGTCTGCAGCACATGGTTTTCCGAGCTCGTAAGCTATCCGGACGTGAAGAGACTTCTACTTGCATAACAGAGGACCTCAACATAGTCCAGCCACCATCTTTTGGACAGGCTCTCTTCCTAGCTATTTGTGTTTCCATGTTCTCAGCTTTCTTTGTATTTGGTTATAGTCCCTATCCCCGCCCTTAGATCAGCTTTTCTAAATATCAATCTGAGAGTTTTATTTATATGGATGTAAAAGTTAATAGCAGTAACAAATCTACTGAACTTTCAATTTCGCCTTAACTTTCTCTGAGAGCTTAATTATGTTCCATGTGTTTTTTGTTGACTTTTTAAAAAATTCCCAAGTCATAATGTGAAATGTTGTCATGGTTACTCATCCTTATTCAGAATACTGATGATTCTACTTGAGGGGTAGGCAATACATGGAAAAGGCTTTTTTGTAGGACTGATGAGGGATAACACTCAGGAAGAATCTTCTTAAACTCTGTGTTCTCTGTAATTTGTCTTGAAATCGTATGTACACAGAAAAACGGATCAGTGCATTTTTGGTTTCAAAAGAAATCATTGAACTCTTTTAGTCACTTTAGTAATTTCAGAAGGAAAAGCATACATTTAAAATGTTGTAATCCCAACAAAAATTTGTTAGCACAGTGAATTTAAGGTCAAATAAGTACATACAATAAAGGGGAATATTTTATATCATTAGGTAAAGTGATAGAATTTTTTTAATTTGTTAATGATAAATCATTGATGATGATGGCTTAAATTTTGTTTGGAGGCTGTACTTATATTTTTGTCTTTGGTTGTGTTTGTTCAGGTTTTAAATAGCTTTAATATTAAATTTTGTGCATGTGTGTGTTTTTAGAGGTTGGACCCAGGGTCTTACGTTTGCTAGGGAAGAGCTTTACTACTAAACTGTACCTCCAGCCTACTTGGTTGTTCCTTCTAGGTGCTCCCTATTTAAATGTGTTAATGTTACTTTTAGAGAGAGTGATATGTTCTTAGCATATTGGGGAAATTTAGATCTTATATTTTATGCCCTAAACTCAACTGAATGGACCTAATTTGTCATTTTTTGTTTTGTGTTTTTGAGAAAGGATCTCATATATAGCCCTGGCTGGCCTGGAACTGGCTATGTAGACCATCCAAGACTGACCTCAGTCTCAGTGATCCACCTGCCTCTGCCTGTATTCCCAAGTGCTAGGATTAAAGGGGTGTGTCACCATGTTCAGCTAAATGAATCTAATGTAAGAGTAAAAAATGTACTTAGTGGCATCTATGATGCAAAATAAAGTTTTCTGCTTTGTTACCTACTTAGTACTTTTTTGTTACAAAAAATGGATTTAAAAAATTCTTGTCCATTGTTAGAAGCTGGTGGTTTGTTTTCATTAATTTTTTTGATTGTTTTAGTTTTGTTGTGTTTTAAAAATTTCTGAGTGGAACAGAGAGTTTCCTTTTTTAATGACCTCTTTTTAAAAAATCAGAGCATGAACCCATTGTAATCTGCTCCCTTGTTCTTTTGCTTATAATGTATAGCTCATTTTGCTTTCTTAGACTTTCAACCTTCTGTTTTGTATGGTTTTTTTTTTCTTTCTTTTTATGAATTCCTCTTCATAGTCCATAAGCTATGGTCTTTTACTCTGGTATTACCTAACTCTTAATATAGAACATATTGTTTTGCTAAGTCTACTAAAACTGTATCTAGTGTTGTATATCGAATACAAATCTATTGTTTATATTGTGCTTTGCCATTGGAACAAGACCATGAGTTTCAGTAGTCAGACATAAGTATTGTTGGTCTTACTTTCCAGGCCAGAGATCCTCATCAGGAGCCTATGGAAGAGACAGAAAATTTGAAGAAACAACATGATTTATTAAAAAGAATGTTACAGCAGCAGGAACAGCTGCGAGCACTTCAGGGACGACAAGCTGCTCTTCTAGCTCTGCAGCATAAAGCAGAGCAAGCTATAGCTGTAATGGATGATTCTGGTATGCTACAGTCTAATAATACTATTTTTATAAGCAAGGCTCAGTAACTATTTGTGTTGCAAAGTGGATGCTTTTATTATATAATCAGATCATGATTGCTGATTAGTTTAGCAACCTGCATGTGAGGTTTACTCTATCCTGTGCTTTTTTTTGGTTACACAGAAAAGGTTGCAGGGACAACTGGCCAGCATACTGTACCGTGCAGACAGACAGCTCGCTCTCCTTTGCATCAGAGAGTACCCTTAAGAGGTAAAAGTGTCAGGCTGTAGTACTGTTTTTTAAATTTGATAGGGCTCTTGGTGCTTTCATTTCCACTCGTTATGTTGTTTTTCATTTCACTCAGATAAGATTGTCATTCTTTGCATTTCTTCCTAGGAAGGGTTAAAAAATCTTAAGTGAACCAGGAGTGGTGGCATAACACCTTTAACCCCAGCACTCAAGAGGCTGAGGTAGCGGGGATCAAGAGTTCTCAGTGAGGACCTGAGGAGATGGCTCAGTTGTTAAAGCATTTGCCTGTAAGCCTAAGAACCCATGTTTGGATCTTTAATACACACATAAAAGCCAGAAGGATCCATGGGGTTCACCAGCCTGCCAGTCTAGCAAGTGTGACCTATGGGTCCAGTGAAAGACTTTGTCTCAGGACCTCTGGCCTCCATGTACATGTGCATGTGTATGCACACACATTGGTATATACACACCCCCTTCCCCACACAGGAGTTCATAATGGGACTCTGTCTCATAAAATGTGGAAGTGGGGAGACTAAGGGTTTATTTTAAAGACTTTAATACTTAAAACTTTTTAATAGTATATATTTAGTTATACATAATAGTGAGTTTCATTATGATACTTTCGTACATGAATATATTTTCGTATTCACTCATTATCCCCTTCCCACTTTCACTCCTATTCTTATTCCCAGTTAGTCCCCTGTCATGCCATCCAATTTTGTTTTGTTTGTAACCTGATAAGTCTTGTTAGGGTTGCTTACAAGAACATGGGTGTGTGGGTGAGGGATTATTTACAGGAGCATGGGCAACTTACCAATGGCGCCATTACTGTAATGTCTCTTCTCTCCCAACAATTAACTGCCTATAAATCCTCAGGGAGAGGTGGAGCCTTAAGATCCCCTCTCCTAGTCTTGAATATTTACACTTACATTATCTCATTTGGTCATCAGAATTAATAGGTTAGTCCTTTAGGGCTTAAGTCTTACAGAATTTTAGTAGTTTAATTTCTTTTCTTTTTTTGCTCTTTTTGAGACAGGGTCTTCCTATGGCCCCAGCTGGCCTGGAACTAGGAGACTAGGCTGGCCTCAAGCCCACAGAGGTCCACCTGCAAATGCTGGGATTAAAGGGGTGTGCCATCATGCCCAGCTGAGTTTAATTTCTTGAGTTTTAGGTTGGGGTCTACTTTGCATTTCTTTTCTCTTTTTAAAATATTTTATTATTTTTATTTTATGTGTATGAGTGTATTGCCTACATGTATGTAAGTACATCCGTGTCGTGCAAAGCCCACAGAGGTCAGAAGTGGGTGTTGGATCCCCTGGAACTGGAGTTATGGACAGTTGTTAGCCACCATGTGGGTGCCGGTAATCGAACCCAGGACCTCTGAAAGAGCAGATATGCTCTTAGCTGCTGAACCAGTTCTCCAGCCCTATTGTGCATTTCTTTTTTTTTTGTTTTTTTTGAGAAAGGGTCTTCCTGTAGTCCCAGCTGGTCTGGAACCTTTGAACTCACAGAGATCTGCCTGCCTCTGCCTCCCAAGTGCTGGGACTAAAGTTGTGCACCACCACGCCCCATCTTAGTAATTTTAAAGCAATTTTGCTTCTATATTTATGAGATTTTGCAGGGAATACAGATGAAAGCCAGGATTATAGTTTCTCTCTCTCTCTTTTTTTTAAATTTTAAAATATTTTTTATTATTCCAAAGACAGGCAGTGTTTAACACATTTTTTTAAAGAAATAACTTGAAGCAGGTTACATAAAAGTAGATATACAATGAAATTTAAGGAGGGAAAAATAGGAATAAAAAATCAAAGACTAAAGGATTTGCCAACATGGGGTCAACTTTGGGGGAGTAATGATTTCTATTAGCTCTGTTCTTTTTTTTGGAAACAGGATTAGAGTTTCTAATCTTGTGTTGGGTAAGACATCATAGCCATCCTGGGGAAGAGTGCTTCTCTTACCGCTTAAGTTGTTTATTTTTACCTGAATTGTAATTTTAGTGTTTTCCACATAGAGTTAAAACTAGATAATAGGTTTCTGTCGGTCTTCAAATGCTAAATTTTCAGCAGAAAATGTTTATATTTTCCTTTTAAAGATGAAGTAGTTTGTAGCTACTTGTTCTTTAGAGCTGGAAAATTAAAAGTGAGGCTAGAGATGGGGTATTGGGTAGTAGAACAGTGAGTATTGTCAAAATTGTCATCAGAAAGTACATTGGGAGTATGAAGGGTTTTGTTGTTAATGAAGAAGATAAAACCAATGGTCTTTTAGTGTAATTTCTATATCACAAGCAGCCACATCTCTTCAACTGCAGGAGTACTAAGTTTTGACTAGCTGGATTTGGCCACTTTCCGAAATGGTTTTGTGGAAAGCTGCTGTTCTCATTTACATATTGCTGATTTTGCCCCATAACAACAAAACTGAAGTCAAGACAAGAACTGTGTTCCAGAAAGCAAATTTGAAAGCTGTACTTTATAGAAAAATTTGCTGAGTCTGTTATATAGTGTTGGAGGTAGAGATTGAGACATGTCAGAATCAGCTGTGTCTTTTCAGGGTACTACTTTACCCACCATTCCCTCTACTAAAGAAGTTGGTAGTGCTAGTCTACCCCTAACTCACTGAGTCATATTTATCTCTTGGGATTGCACTACTATCCTTGGTTATTGAGCTAAAAAAAAGATTATGCCACTTTACTAGAGTTTAGCAGTTGTCCCTTTATTTTTATGTCAGATAGAAAATTCTAGTGCAATGATTGGCTGACAGATAATAAGAGAGCTGTAAGTTTCAAATCACATTAGGTTAGGCTTTTTTTTTTTACTTCAAAATTTATACTTAGCTTGAAGTATATTATTTATACTAATATTAATGAATTTGGTCTTTAATTTTCTTTTCAGTTGTTACTGAAACTACAGGAAGCTTATCTGGAGTCAGTATCACATCTGAGCTAAATGAAGAATTGAATGATTTAATACAGCGTTTTCATAATCAGCTCCGAGATTCTCAGGTAATTTAATTTGTTTATATGGTTGAGCTTAGAAATCACAGTAATTAGCACAGTGATCCTCAAACCTTAGTAAGCATAAATACCACCTGGTATGATTATATTAAAAGTGGATACATGGAGTTCCTCAACCTCTAAAATTATAAATCTTAATATTTGAATGGGCTTATATGATCCCATTGCTGTTGTTCTGATTACTATTCTTCAAGAAACACAAAATTTGAGGAAAATCTGCTTTGTTAAGATTTATTTTTTTATGTGTACGTGTGTGTGCCTGACAGTATATATGGGTACCACATGCATGCAGGTGCCTGTGGAAGTCAGAAGAAGGCTTCAGATCCCCTGGAACGGGAGTTATAGTCAGTTGTGAGCCACCTGATGTGAGTGCTAAAACCAAACCCAGGTTCTCTGTGAGAGCAGCAAATGCTCTTAACAAATGAACCATTACTGTAACCCCAGAAAATCTAGTTTGACTGTGCTGAGTAGTCAAATTTTCTTTGTATGGTTGTTAGAAAATACATTATTTTTGCCTCTTAGGGTCTGGGTGGTTATAACCTTTAAGACTTAAATTAGTTTTAAGCCTAAGTCCATGTAATATTTTATTTTTACTGACAGGTTTTTTTTTTTTAATTTTATGTGTATGAGCGTATGCCTACATGTAAGTACACCCGTGCACATACATGTAAGTGCAATGCCCACAGAGGACAGAAGAGGCTGTCGGATCCCCCTGGAATTGGAGTTATGGACAGTTGTTAGCTGCCATGTGGGTGCTGGGATTTGAACCCAGGTCTTCTGCAAGAACAGTCAGTGTTCTTAACCGCTGAGCCATCTCTCCAGCCCCTTTACTGACAGTTTTAAGAAAGTTTTTTGGACTTGGAGAGATGGCTCTGTGATTAAGAGCATTTACTGTTCTTGCAGAGGATCCGGGTTCACTTTCCATCACCCACATGGCAGCTAACTACTGCCTATAACTCAGGTTCCAGGGGATCGGTCACTCTCCTCTAGCTTCCATGGGTATTGCATGCATGTGGTACACTTACATCCATGCAGGCGAAACACTGATGCACATAAAATAATTTTAAAGTAAGATAAATAAAGAAAAGTTTTGGGGGTTGGTGTTTTGTTGTTTTGAAGCAAGGGCTTACTACGTAGTCCAAGCTAATCTTGAATTTTCATCTTTCTATCTTAGCCTCTTAAGTACTGGGGATTATAAGTATGTGCCACCACACCCAGCAAGGAAAATTTTAATTTTAATTTGAGTTAGTAGGTGTTCTAATTTTATGAACTTGTAAATAATGATAATGTGAATTTACAGTATGTAGGATTTGAATAAGAGTAGATAAATCATGATCTCTCTCCACTGAGAAGTATGAGTGAAGGTGCAGTGGCTATTGTTTTTCCAGTGACTAAGTAAAAGTATATGGCTCAACCACCATGACAGTCATTTAGCAAAACTTGGTGAATTTTCTAATGGCCCCAGTCACATCCTAATCAAAAGAAGTTCTAAGCTGCTTACAGAAGATAGATATGAAATTGTTTGTGGAATCATTTTGTTCGTAGCAAATCAGGGAGCAAATAAATGTCTATGTACAGTAAAATGAATTAAGTTATCTGTACAGTGAAATTTTATATAGCACTTAGAGTAAATGATCTGATGCTAATGAGTAAAAACAGCAAAAAGGATACTGCTTGCTTAATGTTTAAAAATGTGTAATTGGGCCAACCAGTGGTTCAGTAGTAAAGGCTCTTGCCCTTAAGAGTAACAACCTGTGTTTGGTCCCTAGGATCTTTATGGTAGAGGAGTACTGACTCCTGTAAGTTGTTCTCTAACTTCCACATGTGTGCCATGCATGAGCATACATATACACACACACTAAATGAATAAAATGTGATTTTTAATGTGTAATTTAAATTTTAATTGATACGCAGATGTTACAAAATAAAAATAATATATGAATGAAAATGATAGATTAATTCCAGATTGTAGCTTCTTCTGGAGAAAGATAATGGGATTGGGAAATGTACCTGCAGAGCTTTATATATATATCTTTAATATAATTTTTCTTCAAAACAAGAATGAATACAAGTGTGAGAAAATGATAGAAAGTTCAATGAAAGATTATTTTTATACAATTCCCTAAGCCTTAGTGTATTCTTGAAATGATGTATAAGCTAAAAAAATAAGGGGAAGGAACATTAGGATAGAGATGGTGGAAAAATTTAATATGTTAAGAAGTTAAAGTTTATGGTGATTGTTCTAAACAGCAGAAGAGAAAATGAGAATTTTGAAAACTTATTTTATGTAACATGTGGCATTGTTATCAGTTAATTTAGATCTAGACAGTAATGTCCAGTGGATCCAAGACCATTATATGTTACATGTATATATTAAACCATATGTGATACAGTGATAAATGAAGAAATATCTAATTTGAGATGAGGAATGACATCTACTTATATACCAATATAGTCTAGGCAGTAAACCCTTTTTTTTTTGGTCTTTTTGAGACAGGGTCTCCCTGTAGCCTCAGCTGCCTCAACTGGCCTGGAACTCACTATGTAGACCAGATTGGCCTTCAATTCACAGAGATCTGCCTGCCTCTGCCTCTGCCTCTGCCTCTGCCTCTGCCTCTGCCTCCCGAGTGCTGGGATTAAAGGCTTGTACCACCATGCCGACATCTTTCTTACAGAGTGTAGTTTTGCTTTTTAAAACAAGAATTCAACTTTTAATTGCCTTCCTCTTACTTAAATTTTTTTTTAACTAAGCCCCCAGCTGTTCCAGACAATCGAAGACAAGCAGAAAGTCTTTCATTAACTAGAGAGGTTTCCCAGAGCAGAAATCCAGCAATTTCTGAACATTTACCTGATGAGAAAGTCCAACTTTTTAGCAAAATGAGAGTATTACAGGAAAAGAAGCAAAAAATGGATAGATTACTTGGAGAACTTCATACTCTTCGAGATCAGCATCTGAACAATTCATCGTGTGAGTAAATCTGATTCAGCAATATTATATAAATCACAGAAGTAAATATGCTGGCACATAGAAGATACTTAATATTTGATAAGTTAATACAGTCCCTTAACATAAATTTTATGAACATGGGAGGAGTTGGAGGGGAGTGAGAGGGGTAGAAATGATGCAAATACAATACTCATGTATGAATTTCTCAAAAAAAAAAACTATTTTAAAAAAAGAAATAACTTTTCAGAGTTAAGGAAGGTTGATAAGTACAGTAAGGTAAAAAAGTGTTCTCCGGAAATTTAAGAGGGAGACTTTAGAAGGAATTGCTTGAATTCTTCAGGGAACTTGACAAGGAAGGTCCAACAATTTTGTAAGAAATTATTTGAGACTCTGCCATTTGAGAAGTTTATTACTTTATCCTATTGTCCTACTAGATAGCTTTGTCATCTTACTATTTAATATTTGTGTCCTAGAAAGACAAATAATAATATATATATTTATAAAGTTTGAAAAAAGATAACATGGAGTTGAGAGGATGGGGAGGTGAGGACCTGAGAAGAGTTTAGGGGAGGGAAGTGATTATGCTCAAGATGCATTGTATGAAATTCTCAGGGAATTAATACAAATTGTTTTGTAGGTGTTTTTATTGAATTTTTGTGTATTTTATACGGAACATCATACTCAGATTTAATCATCTTTATATCCCTTCTCCATTGGCACCCTCTCAGAGCCCCTACCCCACTGTAATGCTTACATTCTGTCATTTGTGTTAAAGGCTTATTGTATCAAGTTAGTGTTCCTAGCCATCCCTCAGTGGAAGTTCATCTGCTGGGGTCTAGGCAGCCTATCTAGAGTCCTTCTCTAAGATCAGCTCTTCCTCACCTATCAGTAATCAGCTGCCAGTAATTTTTTGACTAAAATTGGGGTGTGTTGCCCATTTCTGCAGTTCTGTGCTAGGGTTTTGTCTGCTTGAGTTTGCATAGGTCTTGTGCATCCTGACACCATTGCTGTACTTTCATATGAGCAAGGTCCCAGGAACCTGTAGGACTCTATTTCCATATGGTCACGCACGCCCTCCCTGGCTCTTAAAATCTTTCCACCCCTTCTTCTGCAGTGGTCCCTGAGCCCTGGGTGGGTGGAGTTTAATAGATAAGTCTTGTCCAAAGACCCACACTCTACAGACTTTTATTCTCTACACTTTGGCCATTTTTGACCTTTTGTGTTCCTGGACCCCTGTTGCATGAGAGAGCTTCATTACTGAGAATTGAGAGATGCATTAGTGTCCTCTTTACCCCTTGCTCTATGTTTTGTGAGCCTTAGATATAGAGGTTGCATTGTAGATGTGAACCTTAGGCTTGGACAATTCAGACAATGTCTGTGTGTGACCAGTTGTAGAACTCTGTAATAGTCTCCATCTATTTCAAAAGAAGCTTCTTTGATGAGTAGTGACTGGGATACTTGTCTGTAAATATAAGAATCTATATTTTATACATAGTAAGAAATTATATTTGTCTAGGGATGAGAGCTTTAGGAATTTCTTTAAGACCTAAGACCTCTCCAGCCATGTGTATTTGGTTAAGTATATAGTACCACACATGAGTTTCCTCCCATTGAGTGGACTTTAAGTCCAATTAGGTAGCTGTTGATTACCCTCACCCCCCAAGATAAAAGTGCCACTACTGCACCAATGTCGTTTGCTGTGCTAGTCATTGATGTGGTTATTAGGCCTTGAAGCTGGTGTTGGACCATTAATTGATGGTCTCCCTTAGCAGTTTGTATAGTGTTCTCCAAAGCTATGAGAGCTAGCCTTCTGGGGAGGTGGCTTCCAGGTCAGTTCCAGCTCCATTGCTCACAATACTGTATCTGAAGTATGTCCTGTCTTCAGCAATAAGGTCTTACCTTCAAGTTCTGGGAGGCAATCAAGGGCTATGGCAATAGCCTGTGTAATTTTCAGAGTGTCTTAGACTACTCTGGCCAAAAACTCAAAGGAAAGGTTTCTCCTGTTTGGCACTGTTTCTTGTTATGTAGCCTTCAACTATACACATCAACTTAGGGAGAATTAATACAAATTTTTTTTTTTCTTTTTGTCTTTCTGAGATAGGGTCTCCCTGTAGCCCCAGCTGGCCTGGAACTCGCTATATGGATCAGGCTGGCCTTGAACTCACAGAGATCAGCCTCCCGAGTGCTGGGATTAAAGGTGTGAGCCACCATGCCTGGCTATAAAGTATCTTTTGTATCTATAGTTAGGTGGAATTTTTAAAAAATTATAAAAATATCTAACTCTTGTAAGGAGAAATAAGCCAATATATGTTAAAAATTAATTCAGACCTAGTCTGTAGTCTTTGTTACAATTCTAAAACCATTTCAGTCTTAGTTCCTACCCCTCAGTAATAGAGACTCACATGCTAGAAATTGAAATCAGTTTGGGCACCCCAACTGATCATTATTTTAACATTCTAGTCATTGTCTTTAAAAAAAAAAAAAGTATATTGAGCCAGGCATGGTGGCACACACCTGTAATCCCAGCACTTGGGAGGCAGAGGTAGGTGGATCTCTATGAGTTCGAGGCCAATGTGGTCTACATAGTGAGTTCCAGGTCAGCTGGGCCTATAGAGAGATCAGATCTCTGTGATCCCACAGAGATCGGAAGAGGGCATCAAATTCCCCTGGAACTGGAGTTATGGATGTTCATTAACTACCATGTGGGTGCTAGAAATTGAACCCAAGTCCTCTACAAGAGCAGCTAGTGCTCTTAACTGCTGAGACATCTTTCCATCCCTAGTCGTTGTCTTAATAAAAAAATAATAATAGATAATTGCCTTGGTGGTGGTGGTGGTTTCTGTTGTTGTTTTGTTATTTTGTCCTTTAAAAAAAAAAAAAATTTCTGGAACTAGGGACCGAACCCAGGCCCTTGTATTGCTAGGTAAGTGCTCTAGCACTTAAGAGCTAAATCCCTTACCTAAGAAATTATAATAGATTAAAAACAACTGTTTTAGAATCTCTATCATTTTTTGTTTTTTATGTTTTGAGACAAGGTTTTACAATGTAGTCCAGGTTCACCTTGGACTTTGGATCTTCTTTCCTCAGACTCCCCAGTGCTAGGAATAAATGCATACCTTGCAACACCCATACCTGTTCCTTATTCTCCATATATCTCATATTTCTTCACCATTTCCAAAAGACCTTACTATTTGCCCCAAAACATATTTCTCCCATCTCCTTGATCTCAGCTACCTTCCTCTTCCTGGAGTAGATAATCTCAATTGTTATCCTTTATAAACAGAAGAAGTCAACTAAGGAAAACTTAAAATTTGAAAGATGTGTTTATGGTTTTGTGGTCAGTTTTATATACAAAGAAAGTAGTACTTTTCTGACAACTCTAAAAGGTAGGAAACAGTTTAAGAGCAATAATAAAAGGAAGAATGATCAAGGAATAGTGAAGAGATCACTGGAAACCAGCCTTAGCAATTTTGGCATTAAAATGAGAAGCAAACAATGATGGTCCCTTTGAGAAAGAGATGTGACAATAGTTTTGAAGTAGGAGGTAGAAAAGTACAGATTCTCAAATCATTAATTGCCTGCCAAGATTTGCCTTTTACATTCTTGGTTCATATGTAGTGGCCCTATTTAACTTAACCTGAGACCAAGTTTATCTTAATGTTCTTTTAGTTGTTTTTCTAATACTCAACATCTTATTTCTAGTCAGTTTCTATCTTGTTTCTTCCCTTCCTTTTGTTTTAATTTAGTGTCTTTAATGAAAAAGTGATAGACTCTGGAAGAAAGAAGCAAAATATTTTTTCCTTGTGTATTTTGATATGTTTAGTTGTGGAATGTGTTAATAAGTTGCCTGTGTATCTCCTTAAGTTTCTAAGATTTAAATCTGTAGAATTAAAAGGTTAATGCATTTTTACTTTCTATTTGTATGTATGTATTTAAACTTGAATATATGTTGCTTCATACTATGGTTATTGATGGTATGTGATTATCTTTTTCTCTTCCATAGTTGTGCCTTCTTCAACTTCTCCCCAAAGGAGTGGGGATAAGAGAAGTACAACGTCAGCTGTCTCTGCTCCTGTGGGCTTTGCACCAGTTGTCAGTGGAGAGCCCAATAGCCTTATATCACCTGTTCCTTGTCCTGCCACTTCTCTGGTTTCTCAGAATGAGAGTGAAAATGAAGGCCATCCAAATCCTGCTGAAAAACTACAGTAAAACACCCTTTGCAATCATTGTTATACTGATACATAGATTGGAATTAAATGCAAAGGAAAATTTTTTAAACTATTGAAAATTTGGGGAAAACTGAAGTTAATAAGATAAACACACTTTTAAGTAACATGAGGGAGGGGATGTGTGTGTGTGTGTGTGTGTGTGTGTGTGTGATATTTTTTTTTAATGAGTTGGCAAAGAGAAATGTGACATTGTAGTAGATAATTTCTGTAAACGGATGTTAGTTGCTTACTTTTTTTTCAGATAAAAGGTCAGAAATAGCTAGGACTATAGGTAAAATAGTTCAGTATTCAAATGATAGAGCCCAGACTCCAGATAGCCCTGAAACCATGTTATAAAAGGCCGTGGCAAATGTGAACAAATAGCTTACTCTTATAAAGCCTCTACTTCTTCATCTGCAAAGTATGGATAATGTTGTTAAAATATAAACTTTTATTTTTAGTTGATACATTGTCACTAAACATTTATTGGACATAGTGTGACATTCAATTGATGAATTTTAAATTTTTTTAAAAATTTATTTTCAATGTGTTTGAGTGTATTGCCCACATGTGTGTAAGTGCACCTATGTCATGCACCATGCCCATGGACGTTGGAAAAGGGCATCGAATCCCCTGGAACTGGAGTTATAGACATTTGTTAGCTGCCATGTGAATGCTAGGAATCAAACCTAGGTCCTCTGCAAGAGCAGTCAGTGCTCTTAACCACTGATCCTTCCCTCCAGCCCCTTAATTTTTATGTGTATGAACGTTTTGCCTGCATGTATCTAAGTGTACCACATACATGCATTACTCACATAGGCCAGAAGAGGGTATTGAATTCCCTGGAACTGGAGTTATAGATGGTTGTTAGTTGCCATGTGGATGCTGGGAATCAAACATGAGTCTTCTAGAAGATCATTAAGTGATCCTAACCACTGAGCCATTTCTCCAGCCTCCTTATGAATGTTTTTAAGGATTAAGGAACATTAGTATAGTTCCTGGTACTCAAGAGAAAACTCAACAAGTATGTTAGATTTGGTAAAAATATATACTTCATAGATCTCTTTACATACAGATAGATATATTTGAGAACTTTGTATAAATCCTCAGTAATATCAGCTTGTCTGATTTTCCTGCAAGATAGTATTTAAATGAAATGTTTAACATTTCATACATTTAACCTCAAAAAGACTAGAATTATTTCTGCATTTTTTTTCTCCTCTTATTTTAATCTGGTTAAATGGAACATTTAAATTGGATTTTTAATAATATTGTATTTATTTTTATCTTATGTGTTTGAGTGTATTGCTTGCATCTGTATAAGTGCCTGGAGGTCAAAAGAGGGTGTCAAATCCCCTGGAACTGGAGGTAACAGTTATTAGCTACCATTTGGGTGCTGGGACTCAAAATTGGGTCCTCTGTAAGAGTGGGTGCTCTTTACCACTGACCCATTTCCAGCCCCTAAATTGAATTTTTAAAAGTAATTTTATACCTTTATAAGAGAATTAAGTGATGAGATTTTTGTTGTTGTTGTTGTTGTTGTTGTTGTTTCTTTTTGTGTTTTTTGAAACAAGATCTCCCTGTACCCCAGCTGAACTGGAACTTGCTAGGTAGACCAGGCTTGTGTCAGTCTTACAAAGATCTGGCTGCCTCTGCCTCCTGAGTGCTGAAATTAAAGAGATTTTTGAGTAAGCAAAACTTGAAATTAAACTCATTGCTTCACAGACAGATCCAGATCCGCTGGATATTTGAGTTGGTTTAAAATTTTTTGTGTGTTTGCCAACCTCTATTAAGTGAAAATAATCTATGCTTTCTTTTTTCTAAAATGGGGGTTAATATTATATATTTTTATTAGGAAGTTAAATGAAGTTCAGAAGAGATTGAATGAACTAAGAGAATTAGTTCATTATTATGAACAGACATCAGATATGATGACAGATGCTGTAAATGAAAATACAAAAGAGGAAGAAACTGAAGAGTCAGAATATGAGTCTGAGCATGAAAATTCTGAACCTGTTACTAACATTCGGTAAACAACTTTAAAATTTTTTTCCAATATTTTCATTTGAACCCAATGCATTTAGTGTGTAAGGGGAAAAATACCTCAATGAAAAGTTTACTCTTAGCTTCTTATCTAAGGTTTTTTCTTGTAAGTTTACAGTTTTGGTTAGTGTAATCATCCTTGCCCTATTGAAGAAAAAGAAGGAAGTACCAAGGATAATAATTTAGTAAATTTGCTGTTTGTTGCAGTGAGTACAAGTAAATTATAAGAAGTATGTAATTTAGCATTTTCTCACCTCTGTATTTTTAGGTATGTTTTGAATTTTTAGATGCTTTTTTTCATAAACTTCTAAGTTTATGGAAAATTTAATGAAAAGCAGGAACCTGTTATTCAGTATTTGAGCTTAAGTGGAATAGTTAATGATACTCTTAGCTTGAAACTAATTTATTATAGCTCTTAAGTAGTTTTTTTTTAATTATTTAAATAATTTTGGTTTATTTTCTTTCAGAAATCCACAAGTAGCTTCAACTTGGAATGAAGTAAATAGTAACAGTAATACGCAGTGTGTTTCTAATAATAGAGAGGGGAGATCAGTTAATTCTAACTGTGAAATTAACAACAGATCTGCCACCAACATCAGGGCTCTAAACATGCCTCCATTAGGTAATGGTTCCCTATATTCACAGATAAGCATATCATCTTTCATGAGTACTTTTAAGTGTGTTTTAAAGTTATTTATTTGAATGATACATATTTTTAACAGACTGTCGATATAATAGAGGAGAACAAGAAATGCATATAGCACAAGGTGAAGATGATGAAGAGGAGGAAGAAGAAGTGGAAGAGGAGGGTGTCAGTGGGGCTTCATTATCTAGTCATAGGAGCAGTCTGGTTGATGAGGCACCAGAAGATGAAGAATTTGAACAGAAGATTAGTAGACTTATGGCTGCAAAAGAGAAACTTAAACAACTACAAGAACTTGTTGCTATGGTACAGGTAAATTATTTGTTAAATGTATAGTCATGTAAAATGAAATTTGTGTATCTGATAATTATATAATTATACTAGTGTATATTCCTTTCTTTTTCCTATAATGTGGATTGAACTGGTGGCTCTACATAGGCTAGGCAGGCCTTCTGCTACTGAGCTACACCTCCACCTCTGTATTTGTTTCTTATATGTCAGTTTTTACAGGCTTAGTAGTTTATATGATATACATCAGATGTTGGCATACTCTTTTGTTAAAGGTGAGAAATAAAGCCTGGTATGTTAGCACACTTCTGTAGCCTTTGCCTCTGAGTGCTGGGATTAAAGAAAATAGGTTTATTTGGTTTATAGCTCTGGAGGTTATATGGGTACCCATCAGTTAATAGCTTCTGGCTAACAGGGTTGCAAGGCTATGCAAGGTAGCACATGGCAAGAGATGAAGAATATATATTACACATGTAAGTCTATATTCTTTGCATGCACTCTTGCTCTCTCATCTTTCTCACCTCTACCTCTGTCCCCTTCACTCTTACCCTCCTCTTCCAATGCCTCTCCTTGTAAAGCTACTAGTGTTCAGTTATGAGGGTTCCACCTCAGTAACCTTACCTAATCCTAATCAGTTCCAAAAGACCCACATCTAAACACCATACTGGCATTAATTTTTACCCTCTTAATATTTCATAATGGGTATTACATTTTAACATACATACTTTGGGAAACACACTGTAGCACTCAGTAATTGACAGCTCACATTTCTAAGGGGAGGGTTGAAGATATAACTCCATTGTAAAACACTTGCCTAATATACTTAAGGCCCTGGGTTCAGTCCTCAGCATTGCAATAAAAGATTCAAATGCACTCATTTTAGTTTTAGTGCTTTTTTTGTCATTTATAGAGGACAATACAGTTTCCTATAAAAATTGTTTATATTCTTTACTATATCAATAACATGTAAATTTCATAACCTAGTATATTAAGTATAGTATAAATTAGATGTTTTTAGATTTCCAGATAGTTTTAATATAATTGTTCTGTTTTAGGATGATGATGCAGCTCAAGTGGTTATCTCTGCCAGTACATCAAATTTGGGTGATTTCTATGGAGCAGAAGAAGATACCAAACAAAATTCAAATAATGGAAGAGAAAATTATAATAAAACACAGAAAGATACTGGAGTAAATGAAAAGGCAAGGTCTGGCAAGCTTTTTTGCTTTCATAATAAAAATTTAGTACCTGTTACTGTGTTGTGTTTTGCTTAATATTATTACTATATTTTATTGGAGTCCGCAAATATGTCAATTTAATTATAGAGAGAAATTTTATGAGGCTAAACTACAGCAGCAACAGAGAGAGCTAAAACAATTGCAGGAGGAAAGAAAGAAACTGATTGAAATTCAAGAGAAAATTCAAGCAGTGCAAAAGGCATGTCCTGACCTTCAGGTAATTATGATATTTAGTTTTTTTAGTTTGTTTGAAAAATGTTTCACATCTGTTGTCAGCCTAAAGTAGTGTTTGTCTTTACTGGCACTGACACGACAGATTATATCTACTAATGTTCTGATTATTGAAATGTATGAACCAACAAAATGGATTGGGGATAGTCATTTACATTTTTAAAGACAGCACATGGGAACTGAATGATTGTTTCCATTCTTTTAAAAATATTTTGTTATTTTTATTTTACGTGTATGAATGTATTGCCTGCCTGTATGTAAGTGCACTCATGTCATGCAGTGCCTGCAGAGGTCAGAAGAGGCATTGGATCCCCTGGAACTGGAATTACAGGTGGTTGTTACCTGCCATGTGGATACTGGGAATTGAACCCGGGTCCTCTGCAAGAGTAGCCAATGTGCTTAACTGTAGAGTCATATCTCTCTAACCCCCTGTTTTTGTTATTTTATGTGTAGAAGTGCATTGCCTGCATATATGTATGTGTACCTATGTGCCTACAGAGGTCAAAAGAGGGTGTTGGATCCCCTGGAACTGGGATTATGGATGGTTATTAACCACCATATGGGTGCTGGTAATTGAACCTGGGTCCCCTGAGAAAGCAGCCAGTGCTCTTAACCACTGAGCCATCTCCCTAGTCCCCAATAAATCATTTTAAAAAAAAACTGTTTATTATATTAAAGTAGTCTGTTTTAAACTTTGCAATAATGTGTTAGCAATTCATTTTCAGTGGCCTAGGATTACACAATAATGCCCTAAACCATCACAAATTATCTAAAGGAAATAATTATGTAAGGTTTCAGTATTAGTTATATATATTTTTGCTTATTAAAATAGTATTCCATAATATAAGCCTTTGAGATGGGGCAGATAGTAAGATGACTTTGGCTGTGTTAGGTAATTAGGTATCAGAATAATATGAGAATGGTTTTGAGGTCTTCCTGAAATTTATTGGTTAGCTTTTATTTGTGTGCGTCGTGCGTGCGTGTGTGTGTGTGTGTGTGTGTGTGTGTGTGTGTGTGTATGTGTGTGTGTTTGTAGATCAGAGGTTGATGTTGGGTGTCTTCTCTGTCATTCTCCATCTTATTTTTGGAGACAGAGTTTCTCTCACTGAACCTGAAGCTTACCAGTTGTCTAAACTGACTGACGGGTGAGCCATTGGGATCCTCCTGTCTGCCTCCCAGCACTATTATTACAGGTGCATGCCTTTCTGTGTGTGTCCTGGGGATCTAAACTCAGAACCTCATGCTTACAGAATAAGCACTTTACCCACTGAGCCACTTCCCTAGCCTGTTTAGTTTATTCTTTAGTTACATTTTTGTTTCTGATAAAACAAAAACACACGTAACTATTTTCTAAACTTGTGCCTTTTCCATTTTATCTAATCTGTCTGTCCTTTATCCCCAATCTAAATAATGTCCAAAGAAATGTGTGCTGAGGTTGGTTTGAATATACAAAAATTTCCCCCAAAATATTTGATTCTTCTTTTTTTTGTTGTTCTAGAGTGTTACTTCTCATGACCTTTAGCCTGTTTTCGTTTCTGTTTTTTTTTTGTTGTTGTTGTTCTTTTTGGATCATGATGGGAATTGGGATCTAGCCATAACAAATCAAATATGGCACTAGAACTCTAGAGAAGTAAAATAACAAATATGAAATTTATAGTTACTTTAATATCTCATAGTAGTTTTTGCAAATTATTTTTTTAAGCTATCAGCCACTAGTATGGGTAGTTGTCCCACAAAAAATTATCTACCAGCAATTACTTCGACCCCAACTGTTAATGAAAATGAGACCAGTACAAGCAAATCTGTTATTGAGCCTGAAGATTCTGCAGTAGTTGATAATGAGGTATGGTACAATGTACTGTGTTATTCCTGAGTTGTGACTTAAGTCCTGAACATTTTCAAGTTTTATTCGGGGGGAAGAGGTGGAGGAGGTTCTAGGGATTGAACCTACTGAACAAGTGGTGTATATGAAGTATATTTTCTCTGTATTTTGTCTCTTAGTTGCGTAAATAAACCAGTTTGTCTCCAAAAAAAGAATTATATTGGGATTGTTCCAAAATACTCATGCTATTTATTAGCAAATATAAGGGGGCAACTGCAACAAATCTAATAATTTCAGTTAGAAAGGCCTATTCTTTTAGCATTCATTTATATGTTTTCAGAAAATATCATAGCTTTTTCCAAATAGTTTATAAAGTACATTTGGGTACTTTTTATTGTCATGAACAATTACAGTCTGCCTTTTTCTTAACATGAAAATAACTATGTAAGACTATTATTCTTTAAGGCTACAGAAAATCTAAATATTTACTTGACTCTGATTTTAAAAACAATAGTTGTGGTCAGACATGCGAAGACATGAAATGTTAAGGGAAGAACTGCGACAGAGAAGAAAGCAACTTGAAGCTCTAATGGCTGAACATCAAAGGAGGCAAGGTCTAGCTGAGACTTCATCTCCATTGGCCATATCATTGAGAAGTGATGGATCTGAAAATCTATGTACTCCTCAGCAAAGTAGAACAGAAAAGTAAGAGGGTTGTTTTAAACTTTTTTTGGGGGGGGGTTCTTTTTGAGACAGGATTTTCCTGTAGCCCCACCTAGCCTGAACCTGCTATATAGACCAGGCTGGCTTTGATCTCCCATAGATTCACCTACATCTGTCTCCCAAGTGCTGGGATTAAAGGTGTGTGCCACCACTTCCTGCTTAAAACATTTTTTTTAAGTCATCATTTACCCAACATAGCACAAATCAGCTGTTTCTTTAATGCAGGTGTTTTCTGGTATGTGATTGTGAGTCCAGCCACTTTCTGTTCTACATTTACATAACATCAACTTTCTTTTCAATTATTATAGTATTTGATCAAATGGTGATACAGACTTTCTAATGTCTATTAAACTTACTTTCTTAGCTAAGTTTTAGATTTATAAAATGAAAAATGTATGATAGTTTGAAGTACTTTTCTCTCAGTCCAGAAATATGTTTTGCTTTGTGACAGGGTTTCATGAATCATAGGTTGGCCTGCAACTCAGTATGTAACTCAGAATGACCTTAAACTTCTTACCTTCTTGCCACCACCTCAGTGCGAAATTACAAACCTGTCCACCATGCCCAGTTAAAATGAACACTTTTTATCTTAAATTGTATATGTGCTATTTATAAGCTTCCTAAGGACAGTCTTAATGCAGTTTCTTGTATAAATCATTTACTTTTAGGATTTAAGTTTGAAATTTCCATATTTAGATAAAAGAATTAGTCATTTGTAGATAAGTTAATTAGTAGTATAGTAGTATTTAGATATAAAATTTTGAAATCTAGATTTGTTGCAGTCTTTTTTTTTCATATCTTCAGATGGCATTTCTAGAATATTGTAGATGCTCTCTTCCTCTTGGAAGTTTTCATATTTTTAGAGTTTCAGTATACATTGTACTGAATAAACAGTATACTATTCTCTTCTGTTCTGCCTACTAAATATCTGTTTACTCACAGAATAAGACAGATAGTTTAGATGAGCATCTGATTTCAGAACTGCTGCTGTAGAGCCTACCTTCTTACTTGTGGATCACAATCCCCCTGTGGGTTCATGTAACAATGCAGCTGAAGGAAGGGGATTGCAAAAAAAAAATTGACAATTTGGAACACATGACTAGAATTCAATATCAATTGTATAGTGAATGAATCAAAGGTGTTTCTGGCAGCGCTTATCTATATTACATCACATGACCTCACTTGGTTCTAAGAAACGCACAGGATGCACACTACACTGCCTGCATATACCACTCCACAACATTAACCAACACTGCCTAAACATTTGGGCTCAGATTCAGGATCATTCTGTGTTATGAATTGCTGTGTTTTTACTGCTCTTAACATACTAGTTTAGTTATGGAAAACTTTTAATAGCTTTCTTATCAACCTTATCATGTTAGTATCAAATTAGGTTTTTTTTGTTTTTTTGTTTTTTGTTTTTTTTTTTTTTTTTTTTTTTTTTTTTTTTTTGGGACTTCATACATAGTAAGCTCCATGTAGCCCCAGCTGTCCTGGAACTCACTATGTAGACCAGGCTGGCCTTGAACTCACAGAGATCTGCCTGCCTCTGCCTCCCAAGTGCTGGGATTAAAGTAAAGGCATGTGCCACCACACCTGGCCCAAATTAGTATATTTTTGAATTGTTTGTGTTTGAAAGTTTGATTTAAAATTTTGCAATTTGAGTTGCTGGTTTTGAGTTTATTTAAAAACAATTTATGAAATTAGTATTGGTTGATTAAGACAGAGTTTCCAGTAATTTCTGAAATGTTCTTAAACATTCTTCTGTAATTTTGATTTACTTGTGCAAAGTAGTGTTCTCAGCATTGACAATTATAAAATCAATTTATCTATTGATAAACTCTGAAAAAGGGTATAAATACTCTATGTACTCTGTGTGTGTGTGTGTGTGTGTGTGTGTGTGTGTGTGTGTGCGTGCGTGCGTGCGTGAGCGCCTGTGTGAGTATGTGCACTTGAATGCGGGTGCTCATGGAGGCTAGTAGCATTGGTTCCCTGTAGAGCTGGAGTTCTAGGCAGTTGTGAGAGGTCTGATGGGAGTCCTGGGAACTGAACTCAGGTCCTCTGGAAGAGCAGCAATTTGTCTTAACTGCTGAGCCCATTTCTCCAGTCCCCCAAAGAGTCTTTATCTCATTAATATGCAGATTTTAAAAATAAATAATAAAATCATATGTATACCAAAGAATTATTTTAAATTAAATTTCTTTGTGTTTATCAGTAAATGTTTGAATTGTGTATTTATTTTATATATCTATATTCCTGGGTCATGTAAAGGTATACTCCTTGGATGAAAGGGATCATGAGTGAGATGCCTTGGTCTATTGTTGTATGTTCTAATATGGCAGCAAGTAGATATGTGGCTATTTAAGATTCAGTTAAGTTTAAATTTTTTTCAGTCTTAAAACCAACTTCTATTTTTGTTTATTTGTTTGATTTTGTTTTGAAGCAGGGTCTCCCTGGAGCCCTAGCTGTCCTGGAACTCAAGATCTGCCTGCCTCTTAAGTGCTCAATAGCTATGTATACATAGCATCTGCCATACATACATAGATCACTACCACCATTGATGAAGGTTCTGTGGGGCAGCACTGAAGTAGAAGTGTCACTTAAGGAAAGGTTGAGGGAAATTTAGCATAGGAAAAATTCCAGAAGATATGAGTATTATTTTAATTTCTTTTGAAAAATTACTTTGTGGAAGGTGCACTAAACATCTCAGAATTACTATGATTAAATGAAATCGTGTGTGTGTGTTTGTGTGTAAATCTTGCACATTGTAGATTTAATATCTAGGCGAGTTCCATAGTGATGCCTGCTTTATGTCTCTTTATCCCTAGAACGATGGCAACTTGGGGAGGTTCGACTCAGTGTGCATTAGATGAAGAAGGAGTTGAAGATGGCTACCTTTCTGAAGGAATTGTTCGGACAGATGAAGAAGAGGAAGAAGAGCAAGATGCCAGTTCCAATGATAACTTTCCTATATATCATCCTAGTATGAGTCATAACTCCTATAATGTAAAAGAAACTAAAAATAGGTTAGTTTTAGCATTTTACTTTCTCCTGATTTTAAGTATCTCAGATCTTTCTGATACCAAGCAATTCCGTAGTTCACACTAACCAAGTTGGTGTTCTAAAATTCAATTTAGTTATGGCCCTAACTACTCAACCTAGTATACACCTTACAAGTTAAGGGACTCAGTCCCACAAGAGAACTCTTGTTTCCAGTGCAAGTGGAACTACACTTATGATTACAAATGAGTTTCCATAATCCTTCTTTATATTTGATAATTTGCTACAACTCAGGAAAATACTTGTGTTTACCAATTTATTATAAAGTAGTCAACTCAGGAGTTTAAAGTGGAATAGATATGTGAAGTAATATATATAAAAAGTGAGAAAATATGACAGAACATCTGTGTCCAAGCACTTTGATAGATCACCACCCTGAAGTTGTCTGAAGTCAGTATTTAAGGACTTTTTATGGAAGTTTCTTCATTATGTAGGTATGATTCATTAAATTATTGGCCTTTGGTAATTGGACTCAATCTCTGGTCTCTTTTCTCTGGAGGTCAGAGGGGTGGGCTTGGAAGTTAGAACCCTGTAATACCTGATTTTTCTGGTGACCACTTCCCTCAACCTAGAGCTCTTCATGAGTCAAGTCTTGAGTAAAAACTCAACAATGAGGGGCTGGAGAGATGGCTCAGAGGTTATGAAAACTGACTGTTCTTGCAGAAGACCTGGGTTCGAATCCCAGCACCCATATGACAGCTAACAGCTGTCCATAACTCCAGTTCCAGGAGATTCGACAGCCTCTCTGTCCTCCGCAGGCATTCATTGCACAGCACGGGTGCACTTACTTACATGCAGGCAATACAGGCATACACATAAAAAATAAAAATAACAAATAAAATATTTAAAAAAAAACACAACAAAACTCAACAGTGGTTAAAAGGGGCTGGGCATGATGGTGCACGCCTTTAATCCCTGCACTCTGAGAGGCAGAGGCCAACGGATCTCTCTGAGTTCAAGACCAGCCTGGTCTACATGGTGAATTCCAGGCCAGCTGGTGCTACAGGGATACCCTGTCTCAAAAAAGACCAAAATACATATACACATAAATACATACATATATACATACATACATACATACATAGCAATAAATAAATAAATAAATAACAATGGTTAAAATGGGTTTGTTATGAATCACAAAAGAAGATCTAGCACTTAGTAGATTCCAAGCATTTTAGGATCTCTGTTGTAGAGACCAGGAACATAGGCTAGATAATATTTTTGTCACCAAGATGTGACTACAGTCAATCCCACCTAGACTAGATCAAGATTCATACCTAAGCTTTCAAATGGAAAATTTCAGTTAGTGAAAAGGTTTGTTAACAAAGATATTAAGTATATTCTGGCAGCAGTGATACATGCTAGTCCCAGCTGCCTGCAGGATCACCTGAGGCCAGAATGACCTTAATAGTAAACAAATACTTCAAAACAGCAGTGATATTAAGAGCATTGTTACTTATTTTTTATATTACATTTTTTTGTGTGTGAGTGTGTGTGTATGTGTGTGTGTGTATGTGTGTGTGTGTGTATGTGAGAGAGAGAGAGAATGAATGATGGTGTGTGTGTGTGTGTGTGTGTGTGTGTGTGTGTGTAAGTCAGAGAAAAACTTGGAGGAGTTGGTTCTTTCCTTCTACCATGTGGGCATGGGGATTGAACTTAAGGTCATTAGGCTCGGTGGCAAGCACATTTACCCCCTGAGCTATCTCTCCAGGCTGCACTGTTAATTCTCATAGTGAAAAATTTTTGTGAATAAATGTTAAGTGGATGTAAAATTGCCACTTGATGAAATATTATTTAGCTAAACTCAAAGCAGAAAGAATGAAAAAATGTTCTAGTCTAAAAAATATTTTATTTTTGTAAAATAGAGTTGTGTATAAAACACAAATGAGGGGCTGGAGAGATGGTTCAGTGGTTATTGAGAAGGCCTGGGTTCAATCCCAGCACCCACAAGGCAGCTAACAACCATCTGCCATTCCAGTTCCAGGGGATCTGATGCCTCATGCTGTCCTCTGCAGACATCGAATGCAGATACTGGTATACTTACATATATGCAGTCATAACACTCATACAGATAAATTTTTTTTAAAAATGAGAAAGACTAGAAAGCAGTTTTTTTTTTTTTAAATTGTACAAGACTGGAGGTAGATTTTTATTTTTTCCTTCTCTATTTTTTATGATTATATTTCAAAAAGTACTGGCCTATGGGCTACAGTTTCAAGTTTATTGCTATATTTAAAAAATAAATTCTCACATTGGATGACTTTGCAATACTTTAAATCTTGCTTTAGGTGGAAGAACAATCGCCCTGTTTCAGCAAATGGAAATTATCGGCCTTTAGCCAAGACAAGGCAACAGAATATCAGCATGCAACGACAAGAAAACCTTCGGTGGGTGTCAGAGCTCTCTTACATAGAGGAGAAAGAACAGTGGCAAGAACAAATTAATCAGCTAAAAAAACAGCTTGATTTCAGTGTTAATATTTGTCAGACTTTGATGCAAGACCAGCAGGTAAATTTTACTTAAAAAAAATATTTACAGAGTCTTGACATAATATAAATTTTCTTCAACTTATCAGTAACTATTTTCCAAAATTTTCTTTCAACAGACTCTTTCTTGTTTGCTGCAAACTCTTCTGACAGGTCCTTACAGTGTTATGCCGAGCAATGTTGCCTCTCCTCAAGTACACCTTATAATGCACCAACTGAATCAGTGCTATACACAGCTAACATGGCAACAGAATAATGTTCAGAGGTAATCTGTCTGTTGAAAGTATTAAGACTGTGTGATGCTAACAGTACATGAGAGTTTTGCAGTTTCCTTTAAAGAGAAAAAATTAGAAGCCATGATCTGCTGATATGGTGGACTTGACTTTTGTTTATAAGATTTTGTATTAGATTGAATGTGTACCATTGGATACGCTGTATAGTATGTAAATTACATCATCATAAAGTCATAAACAAAATGTTCTTTAAATACCTACTGTCTGTCAGAACTAAGTTCAATTCTTCTTCCAAGGCTGTTACTAAATTAAGCCAGCAGAGCAAGCAAATGCCTATTGGAGGGTCAGAACAGTCTGTCTATTCTGAGTGCTAGTCAGTCATTTCTTACATGTATTCTTTTTTAATGTAGTATATATTGATGGTAATATAACTAATTTTTAAATTACTGGCTTAAATTTTTGTAGGTTAAAACAAATGCTAAATGAACTTATGCACCAACAAAATCAACAGCCAGAAAAACATAGAAGCAAAGAAAGAGGCAGTAGTGCATCACATCCTTCTTCTCCCAATTTATTTTGTCCTTTCAGCTTTCCAACACAGCCTGTAAATCTGTTTAATCTGCCTGGATTTACTAACTTTTCATCATTTGCACCAGGTAGGTGACTGAAAATCTGAAGGAAAAATAAATAAATGCAAATATTTTGAACTGGTTGTGCTATTACATGCCTATAGTTCCAACACTCAGGAAGTGGAGACAGGAGAATTAAGAGTTCAAGGCCATTCTCAGCTACATACTGAGTTTGAGGCTTGCTGGACTAAATGAGACCCTGTCTCCAAAAAAGGCAGAGTTTGAGATTATTATTTTTCTTAAAAAATTATTTACTTATTATTTTTTATTTTATGTGTATGAGTGTTTTACCTTCATGTAGTAAGTGTACCATGTGCATGCAGTCCCTCTGGAGGCCAGAAGTGGGTGTTGGATCCCCTGGAACTGGTGTTTGAGACTCTTGTTAGTTGCCATGTGGGTGCTGGGAACAGAACTGGGTCCTCTGTGAGAGCAGCCTGTGCTTTTTACTACTGAGCCATCTCTCTGGTCTTGGGGTTATAATTTTTCTAATGCATGAATTTTTTTGTTGAGGATTTCATACATGCATATGTGTTTTGATGAAATCTACTCCCCACTCCCTCATTTCTAACTTGTCCCATCCCTCCCCATCCCCACCATTACTTTTCCCTTCCAACTTCATGTACTCTTATTTTTTTTTATAAACTTTTAAAAATTTTATTTATTATTATTTTTATTTTATGTGTATGCATGCTTTATCTGCATGTGGGTAAGTGCACCCATGTCGTGGAATGCCTGAGGAGGTCAGAAGAGGCTGTCAGATCCCCTGGGACTGGAGTTATGGGCAGTTGTTAGCTGCCATGTGGGTGCTGGGATTCGAACCTGGGTCTTCTGCAAGAACAATCAGTGTTCTTAACTGCTGAGCGATCTCTCCAGTCCCGTACTCTTATTTTTTAAACCCACTGAATCCACTTAAGTGCTGCCAGTATTTGTGTGGGTATAGAGACATCTTCTGGAGCATGGACAGTCTTCTCCCTCCCCTAGCCACCACAAGTTGCCAATAGTTCTTCAACTAGGGATGGTGGGGCTTTGTGAGCCTCTCTCCCCATGTGTATTATGTGGAATTAAAACATATATATATATATAAATTATTTGAGAGTTACATACATACATACATATATACATGCATACATACTATGTATTTTGATCATATTCAGTTCTTACTCCTCCTCCTGACTCTTTCAGACCTATTCTTCTCCCTCTCAAATTTGTGTTTTTTTAAAAAAAATTACCCAAATCCAGTTTATGCTGTTCATCTGCTCATGGTGTATAGCCATCCACTGTAGCATAGTCAGCCTACCAGGAGCCATACTATTAAAGAAAACAGACTTTCTCCCCCTGAAGCCATCAGCTGTCAATAGTTTCTCAGTCTCATGCGCTCTTTCTCCCTTTGTGTTTGAATGTGACTGGCTTGATCTTGTGCAGGTATGCACAGCTGCGGTGTATTGGTCCTGTCATATCCAGAAGTGACTGTTTCACTCTGGTCCTTTCTTCCTAACCCCTGGCTTTTACATCTTTCTGACCCACTTCCTCAATGTTCCCTGAGCATTATGGGAGGGGCTGTAATGTAGATATATCATTTGTGGCTGAACTGTCTATACTTTGGCCAGTTGTGAATTTCTTACATGGATTTTGATGTTTTAAAAGATTTGAATTAGAGCTAGGCATGGTGGCGCATGCCTTTAATCCCAGCACTCAGGAAGCAGAGTCAGTGGATCTCTGAGTTCTAGGCCAGCCTGGTCTACATAGTGAGTTCCAGGACAGCTGGAACTAGCCACAGGGAGACCCTATCTCAAAAAAAAAAAAAAAAAAAAAAAAGATTGGGGCTGGTGAGATGGTTCAGCAGTTAAGAGCACTAAGTGCTCTTGCGGAAGACACCTGGGTTCGATTTCCAGCACCTACATGGAGGCTACGAATCGTCCTTAACTGCAGTTCCAGGGGAATCTGAAGTCCTCTTCTGACTTCCGCAGCATAGCATGATATGGGTGCACTCACATACATGCAGGCAATACACTCATACACATAAAATAAAAATATTTTTTAAAAAGGTTTACAAACAAACCCTTTCACATATTTTATAATGAAAAGTTAGTATGATTGTTGATAAAACTAAATAAATTATGAATGATTGCTTCAGCTATTTTTAATACCCTGTTCAGTGTTTTCTCTCACTATGTACTACATTAGGAGAGTAAAGATGAGTAAGACAATACTTAACAGGGCTTCTGAGATGCCTAGTGGTTAAGAACACTTGCTGTTCTTGCAGAGTATCCAGGTGTGATTCCCAACACCCATTTGGTAGCTAACAACCATCTGTAACTCCAATTCCAGTGGATCCAATACCCACTTCTAGCCACCCTCTTCAGGGCATTGCACACACATGGAACACTTACATATATGCAGGCAAAACATTCATACACATAAAAATAAGTATTAAAAAAATATTTATGAGCCATATCTTGGTAAATGCATTTAACCTAGGGTTAGCAGAGGTACAGATACTTGTAGAACGTGAGCAAATTGGTTTTTTAAAAGGTGCTACTTAAACTAAATAATGAGTTTTTTAAAAAGTGCTACTTAAACGAAAGAATGAATTTATTTCCTTAATGATTAAGATGGAAAAGACTTTCTATTTTTAATAATTTGTTATTTTTATTTTATGTGTATGAGTGTTATGCCTGCATGTAGGTAAGTGCACCTGTGTTGTTCAGTGCCCAAGGAGGACAGAAGAGACTGTTGGATCCCCTGGAACTGGAGTTACAGACAGTTGTTAGCTGCCATGTGGGTGCTGGGATTTGGGTCTTCTGCAACAACAGTCAGTGTTCTTAACCACTGAGCCATCTCTCCAGCCCAGAAAAGGCTTTCTATCCAATGGAACCACTTAAGAGTTACAAAGCAATGAAATAATATATACCTGGAGAAGTTAGAGATAAAAATGTCACTAGTGCTCAGAGACAAGTCAGTCAAGAGTAATTGGTATAGCTGTAGAGTAGCAGAGGCCTTTTGTGGTATGTAAAAGAAACTTGGGCTTTATATTGTAATTAAGAAGGCCCACTGAAGAACTTTAAACAGGGGAATAACATGAGATTTATAGTTTAAGAAGATTATACTGTAGTACAATTGAGAAATTGGACAGAGGAGCTAAGAGTATAACTGTGAGTAGAAGACTTTCAGAGTAACGTCAGGTAAAGAATGATCACCTGACATTGTGATTGACAGTGACAGTGTAGAAAAGGAATTGAAAAGGGATGGAAGTAGGGAAAATAAGTGATCAGTTAATCATGAAGAATTGAAGATATTTTCCAGGAAATATAGATGATGATAAAGGTTGGGATGTCTTCATGAGTGCCAATATCTATATGCCAAAGTAGTTTTTCTTAACTAGATTTTCAAAGCAGTGGCACTAAAAACTTTAAAAAGCTTTTTAACTTGCTGAGTATTGAGTAATATTGCTAGCACACTTTTGAGTAGGCTTTCAAGGACTAGATGAGGAGATGCATGTGTTCATCATTTTCACATTAAAACTCCTCATCCCCATGCCAACCCTGTATAAAAATTGTTTGTTCTTCGTGTATGGGTTCAATTTTATGAAGTCTTACCTCTTCCTCCAAGGTTTTAGTAGCTCTATGCAAATCTCTCATATATAGTACCAATTGGTAAGTATTCAGTCACATTTTCCTTTACCAATTAAAGTGGAATAAATGGATCTAACTAGGTCTTCTTTTAGTAGACATTTGACCCCTAAGCCTATTTTCTCATTGGTATCATGGGTATAGTGTCAATTTATAACATTATTTTGAATATTAAGTGAAATAGTATGTAAAATACCTATTATAAGTTGATAAATGTTAAGTACTATAATAATTTGATAAGTGTTAAGTACTGCTATAACTTCTAGGTCTTTCTTTCTTTTTTTTTTTTTTTTTTTAATTTTGTCTTAAATTACCAGAACTTGGATCCTCTACAAGAGCAATATGCTGGTCTCTAAAAAAGCAGTATACACATCTTAGCCACTGAGCCATCTCTTCAGCCCCATAACTTCTAGTTCTTGAGGAAGCATCAATAATAACCTTTGTATCACAAATACCTAAAATGTAGTCTGAGCTATAAGTAGTGAATGAATAAATGAGCATTAGCTTATTAAACTGACAGTTGTTGGTTTTCGTGAGTTTGAATAGTTAAAGTCAATTAAAATCCCTAAAAAAAATGAAATTCTTTATTGTTTTCTCACCCATCTTTTTATTAGGAATGAATTTCAGCCCTTTATTTCCTTCAAATTTTGGAGATTTTTCTCAGAATATTTCTACACCTGCTGAACAGCAGCAACCATTAGCCCAAAATCCTTCAGGGAAAACAGATTATATGGCTTTTCCAAAACCCTTTGAAAGCAATTCTTCTATTGGAGCAGAAAAGCAAAGGTACTTGATTGTGATCAGTCTTTTTGCTTTTAGTAGTCACTTAAAATTTTTTTAATTACGTGTGTGTTGTGTGTGTGTGTGTGTGTGTGTGTGTGTGTGTTTGTGTGTGTTGCACGTCACACACATGCATCAGAGTTCTAAGAACATCTTGAGGGAATTAGTTCTCTCTTTCGACCTTCCTGGGGATCAAACCATTTACCAGGCTTGGTGGCAAAGCATATTTACATGATAAGCCATCTTGCTGGCCTACCATTCACTTTTGTGATGCAATTAGGGGGCATGTTTATGATGGTGTGACTTGATATAGTATTGGTTATATGAAACTTATGCTGGGCGTGGTGGCACACACCTTTAATCCCAGCACTTGGGAGGCAGAGGCAGGCAGATCTTTGTGAGTTCAAGGCCAGCCTGGTCTACATAGTGAGCTCCAGGACAGCTGGGGCTACAGGAAGACCTTGTCTCAAAAAGACAAAAAAAAAAAAAGGAAGAAAGAAAGAAACTTATGTATCTTACTAGATATCCCTCAGACGTAAGACCTGGTAATTTTTGTCTAAGAGATGGTCAGAGTTTTGGTCCAGGGTATACTATGTTTTTGTTTTTGTTCTTGTTTTGTTCTAACCCCAGCTGGCCTGGAACTCTTTGGGATCTCACAGAGATCCACCTGCCTCTACCTCTGCCTCTTGATTGCTGGGATTAAAGGCATGTGCCATGACATCTGACCCAACACTGAACTTTTTAAACCTTAAAGACAGACATGAAATTAAGGATAAAGGAAATTTTTGGAGCTAGGGACAGGCAGATCTCTGTGAGTTCAAGGCCAGCCTGTCTACATAGTGAGTTCCAGGCCAGTTGGGGCTACAGGGAAAAAAAATTCAATGTTGCTACTTTAATCCTAGTACTTGGGAGGCAGTGGTAGGTGGAGCTCTAGGAGTTCAAGGCCAGCCTGGTCTATGTAGCAAGCTCCAAGCCTAGCTGGGGCTACATAGTGAGACCGTGTCTCAAAAAAGGTTCAGTGTTCACCAACTTAGTACTGTTAACTAATAATAACTGCTAGGGGATAGTTGTTAAGTGATAGTCCCTTTATTTGCTTACTAGCCTCTGATTATAATTATAGACCATTTAAATATTATGTTGAACATTATTTGATTACAAAAATAACTTATTAAAGTTAATGGCAAATGATATCAGTCATAGGTTGAACTTTCTCACATTTGTTATTCATTAGTATGATCATTTCCCCAGCTGCAATTTCTGACACAAATAGTGTAAAAGAACAAGTCTGGCTCAGGCCAGCCGTGAAGGCATTTTTATAGGTATATAATGTTTTCTAATTGCGTTAATCCAGAAAAGTATTTTGATAGCTAACTGGTAAAAATCTTATATCCTTTCTTATTGTTTGTTTGTTCTGGGATAAAATAGGTTTTATTGAGTATGCTGCAAGTGGCAACAGGCAAGACAGTAAGAAGAATACTGCCTGCAGCCTCCTTGTTGTCATTTACTACAGAAAAACCTTTTCTGAAAAAAATTAGATAGCAATCGGGCCTAGTATCTTGTTAGAAATATCTTCGTGATTTTTCTACTGATGCCCTTCAGAAATACGTCATTCACACTATATTTGCCTTTAGCAGTGTGCTTGAGCATGTCTCATACACCTGCATTTGCCACTGTTTAATTGTTAAATCATTAACCTTGTGTTTTTTTTTTTTTATTTTACTTAACTAACTGATAAATCTTAAAATACCTGTGGTGTAGGTCGCCTCTGTGAATTCTATAATTCATCTCTCTGACATTTTTGATTCCTTTAATTAGTGATTCTAACTTTGTTTTCCTATTTTACTGTGAATGTATTCATCAGAGCTTAACACAGTATTAGTTCACAGTTGCCATGTAGAAAGGAGGTTGAGTGAATCTCTACAAGCTATAAACATTTATTCAAAGCTTCAGTGAAGGGTTTCCTCTTGTAAGTTTTCTAATTTATTATCAATGTTTTATATATGCTTGATGGTAAGAAAATACTCTAATTTCACATTACATATATAATTTTTAGGTTATAGCTAGATATCTTATGTTACTTGAAATAGTCCATTTAGATAGACCTTATTTATCTCCCAAAACTTCAACTGTATAGATTCCCTGAGTTAAATGACTAGCAATAATAAGGCAGATAAAACCATATAGTCTCTAATAATGGTCATAAAACTATTCCTGTAAAGTACCAGAGAGTAAATATTGTAAACTTTGCAGATCATACTGTCTGTCATAGCCATTCATCTTTGCAGTTTTTATAAAAAAAGTAGCCATAAACAATCTATAAACATGAGATTGGCTGTGTTTCAGCAACATTTATGAGAATTAGAATTAGAATTTCATGTATAACTTTCATATGTCAAATATTTTTCTGATTTTAAAAAAAAAGCTGTTTAAGGGAAAAAGCTAAACAACAACAAAAGACCAAAAAACAGTGCTAGCTCTCAGACCTTATAAAACAGGTAACAGCTGAATTGGTCGCTGAACAAGGGATTTCTAACCCTTGTCTTCAGTTAAAATATATAGGCCATTGTCTCCCAAAGTATTCTTTATAAAATATTTGCTAAGTTCTGGGGGCTGGAGAGATGGCTCAGTGGTTAAGAGCACTGACTGTTCTTGCAGATGACCTGGGTTCAATTCCCAGCACCTACGTGGTGGCTAACAACTGTCTGTAACTCCAGTTCCAGGGGATCTGATGCCCTCTTCTGACCTCTGGACGCTGCGTGACATGGGTGCATCTACCTACATGCAAGCAGTACACCCATACACATTAAATAAAAATAAATAAAAATTTTTTTAATTAAAAAAAATTTGTTAATTTCTGTGGTTAAAAAGTTATGCATTTCAGCCCAGTGTGGTGGTACACGCCTTTAAGTCCCAGTACTGAGAGGCAGAGACCGGTGGATCTTTGTGAGATTGAGGCCAGCATGGTCTATATAGCGAATTCTGGGACAGCTGGGGCTATAGGGAGACCCTGTCTCAAAACAAAAAGGAAATTAAAAGTTGTGCATTGCTTCATCACTGTTGCTGTAAGATATTTATAAAGAACGTTGGCATTAAAAAGTTAAAAGAGGCAGAGTTAGGCGGATCTCTGTGAGTTCAAGTCCAGCCTCATCTACATAGTGAGTTCCAGGACAGCTGGGCCTACAAGGAGAACCTGTCTCAAAAAGCCCCCCCCCCCAAAAAGAAATCATGTATTTAACCTTATTTTATCCATTTTAAAAATTTAAGAGAAGCCAGCATTTAATAAAGAAAATTTCAGAAATGACATTATACCAATAGAACTAAACTACTCAGTGAGTAAAAGAATACATTATTAGCTGAGTGTTTGTTTTCACAAATTCTAGCTTTGTTTAGAATGCTTTGGGAAATCCATGTATATTCCCAAAATTGCAACTCAGCTTTTCAACAGTCATCCAGCATTTTTTGCTTGTTATATCCTATCTTCCTTAGCATTTTCTTTCCCACTCTTTCTCTCATAAATGTTAGCTCTTTGATTTAGACCTACCAGTAAAAGATCCAAGATTAAAGCAATTTATACTGTGTAATATTTGCACATTGAATGCATATTTTTTGTGAAAACATTTTTATAGGCTGTTTAATTCACCTAAATCTATTCTGTAGTAAATTATTCCTATATTTTTCAATAAATATAAAGAAATCTTTAATTGTAATTTCTAAAAATTTGTTTTCATTGGTAAGGAATCAAAAACAGTCTGAAGAGGAAGTAGAAAACACTAAGACACCATGGTTATATGACCAAGATGGGGAAGTAGAAAAACCATTTTTCAAGACTGGATTTGCGGCATCTGTAGAGAAAACTGCAAATGGTAACCGCAAAAACCAACCAGATACAGGCAGGAGAAGACGCCAGTTTGATGAAGAATCATTAGAAAGCTTTAGTAGTATGCCTGATCCCGTAGATCCAACAACAGTAACTAAAACATTTAAAACAAGAAAAGCATCTGCACAGGCTAGCCTGGCATCTAAAGACAAAACTCCTAAATCAAAGAGCAAGAAGAGGAATTCTACTCAGCAGAAAGGCAGAGTTAAAAATATTGGTAAGTTTTGAAATTTGTTGAATTGTTTATCAGTATTAATGTTAATCTTTTCTCAGTTAATGTTAATCTTTGACATGTTGAGCTAAACTTCAATCATGTTTAGTTACCTTTATAATTTTTAAATTTTCAAATAGGATTTAATATAGTATGTTAAAAACATTGCATTTATTCCCTTTTTGTTTTTTATTTTATTTTATTTTATTTTACAACTGTATCAATAGAAATACCAGGTTTAATAGGCACCAAAGCCAAGAAAACCAATGATACCAGATAGTGAATTTCTGTCACACTGTTCTTTGAACACACCAGCAGGAAGAAGCTGCTGAGTGCAGATACCATGCAGTGCATGCATTTATTCTCTTGTACTTTTTATAGTTTCACTTGTTTCGTGTGTGTGTGTGTGTGTGTGTGTGTGTGTGTGTGTGTGTGTGTATACGCGCTTAGTATGAGCTCAACAGATTTTGGCAAGATTCTCAATGATTAATGTGCTTCTAATTCTAAGTACATTATAATTTTTTTGTGGGGGGGGCGTGTCTTTTTGAGACAGGGTTTCCCAGTAGCCCCAGGCTGGCCTTGAACTCACAGAGATCTGCCTGTCTCTGCCTCCGGAGTGCTGGGATTAAAGGCGTGTACCCAGCTCGTTATAGTTTTTTAATATTATAAATGAAACAACTTTTAAAACAGACTTGCTCCAGCCCTTGGGAGCCAGAGGCAGGTGGATCTCTGTGAGATCAAGGCCAGCCTATATACTGAGTTACAGGTAGGATGGGACTAGGGAGTCCCTGTCCAAAAAAACATACAGACTTGTTTGTAGTCCTTTAGTAGGTAAACCTATGTTTCAGTGAATTTTGCAGTTGAATATCATGTTAACGTTCTCTTTATAGTATTACTATATGTGCCTCCTTTAAAAAAAATACATTCTTCTGTAAATTTGAGAGTTTGCTAAAGTACTAGATTTAAAATGTTTTATTTGCTAAAATCTATAACTAAAGGATACTTAAGTTTGGTGTAACCAGAGAACAGTTTAACTCGATAATGACTGTTTTGTTTCTGAGAAAGACCCTTTGGATAATCTTTTTTTTTTTTTTTTTTTTTTTTTGTTTTTTTTTAAAATAGGGGCTTTTTGTTGCTCCGGCTTTCCTGGAACTCACTATGTAGTACAGGCTGGCCTTGTAATCACAGAGATCCACCTGTCTCTGCCTCCCAAGTGCTGGGATTAAAGGTGTGCCGCCATGCCGGCAACCACTTAGTTTTTTGATTCCCTAGTGCTTTCCCTGACAGTTTTTTTTTTTTTTAACATTTAACTGAAGAAAAGCTAGTGGGTTTTTGTTGTTGTTTTTAACTATAATATTCTCATATTCAGCTTGATAATTTGAATGGGCTGGGACCATTATTCCTTAAACTTTCGTTTCATCCAAGGCTCCCTAGGAATCCTTTAAATAGAGGTTCTGATTCATCAAGAGGCAGAAGAATTGAGAGTTCAAAGCCAGCATGGTTTACCTACAAAGACCTTTTTTCGTAAAGCAAACCAGATTCTGATTTAGTTGGTCTAGGAGGTACCTGAGCATGTACTTTTTGGGGAGTGAGAGGGGGATTACAGGTATAATCCATGGAATCTGTCTGACTCTGCATTTTTAACAGACTCGTATAAAGCAGATACTGGTTTGTGGGCCTTACTCGAAATAGGGTTTTAGACCATATATAGCCACTTTATGTCTACCCAAGTCCAGAAATACTTGTGTGCTTGTAGTGAAACACCTTTATCCTTTTTGAAAATTAGTTTTTCTTTATTCTTGAGAATTCCATGAGTGTATATAATGAAATAATTATCGTATCCACCCCTCAGTTCCCTACTCCAACTGTTCCTATATCTCCCCAACATGTCCCCCTCCAAAGTTTATCTTTTTTTTTTTTTTTTCTATTTTTGATAACCCACTAAATTCAGTTAGTATTGCCCTAGGTGTGCATGGGTGTGGGGCATCTACAGGAACTTGAGAAGCGCCATCAGTGAGAACATCCTCAAAACAGGATAATTCTCCCTTCCCAGCAGCTTTCAACTACCCTTCAACTATAATAGACATTTTGGCTGGATATAGTAATCTGGGTTGGCATCTGTGGTCATTTAACACTGGGAATACTTTGGTCCAGGCTCTTCTGGCTTTCATAGTTTGCATTGAAAAGTCAGCTGTGATCCTAATGGGTTTTCCTTTATATGTGACTTGTTGTTTATCTTTTGCAGCTTTCAGAATTTTCTCTTTGATTTGTGCGTGTAGTATTTTTAGTACGATGTGCTGTGTAGAGTTTCTGTTCTGGTCCTGTCTGTTTGGTGTTCTGTATGCTTCTTGTATTTGTATGGGCATGTCTTTCCTTAAGTTTGGGAAATTTTCTTCCACAATTCTGTTGAAGATCTGGTCCATGCCATTGTCTTGGGATTCTTCTCCTTCCTGTATGCCTATGATTCACATGTTTGTTCTTTTTATGATATCACTCAATTCCTGCATATTCCGTTCTTGTGATTTCTTAAATTTTTCATAGTCTTTGCTTGAGTGGTCCAGTTCATCCACTTTATCTTCCAATCTTGATACTCTGTTTTCCATTTCATTCATCCTATTGGTGAGGCTTTCTCCTGTCGTTTCCTATTTGCTTATGGAGTGTTTTACTTCATTCTTTATTTCAGCCTGTGTATTCTTTAATATTTCTAGCTCTTTTCTGAATTCATTCAGAAGTTTATCCCTATCTTCCTTCAGCTCTATGATTACCTTGTTTGTGTGTTCTTTAAATTCACTGAAATCTTTTATCATGTATATAATTGTTCTTTTGAGTTCCATGTCCTGCATTATCTCTTTGGGGTTCTCATTGTACTCCTCTAGAAGACTATTGGTATTTGGTGGGGATATGTTAATTTGGTTTTTCATGTTATTATTTTTTCTCTGTGATTTTGAGAGGTGAATTTCTTTTGTAGTTTCTGATTCTTGTGTGAGA